AAAAATGAGGTGTGCGTGCATCGGGGGGGGCGGGGAGTCCTGCAAAATTTCACTTTGGATGTAAAAATCAAGACTAACTGCATATATGCCATACAAAACACAAGCAAACATTACTTCAGAGAAACTACAGTATAGACTTTTTCACAGTAAGGGAAGGAAAACATTAACGATTAAACACATCAAAATATAAATGATTTAAGCTCATGCACAAAAACAACAGGAAAGTAATCTGAAAATTAGGGAGCAGGCGGGGACAGGGAAGTCAAGACAATAATCTAGGTATTAAACTATAGCTTGTGGGGTTACTTTCCCGATTCAACATAATCAGCCATGAATTATTAATACAGATGACTGTTCATTCACAAGAAAAATGTGAAGAAGCCTCAAGTCACACCAACCTTTAGAGCATGCGGCGGGGGAAGAATACACCATGCTAGTAACATAAACAACTATGCAGCCACATGGTGGACATCCTACCATGTGGTAAAATGGTGCATTGTGTCCCTATGATTGCAGTGAGTAGTGCATATTTTCAAATAATTTGAATTATAGCACAATAACTTGAATAATAGTACTGGTTGTTGTTGTTGTTTTGTTACGTATTTTTTGTGTTTTTATACTGTAAATGATCCTGTAATCTTCAAATGCAGAGTGGTATTAAATTTAAATAATAATAGTAATCTAGAGAGGATCCAAGGGGAGCTGGTAAGTTTTCAATAGTAGAACAGCAAACAATGGGAGTAGGCTTGCAGTCTTCTTTGCAAGGGGCAATGGTACCTCGAGTTACAAATGCCTCAGGTTACAAATTCTTCAGGTTACAAACTCTGCTAACCTGGAAGAGTTACCTCGAGTTGAGAACTTTGCCCCAGGATGAGAACGGAAATCGTGGGCCGGCAGCGCAGTGGCAGCAAGAGGCCCCATTAGCGAAAGCACGCCTCTAGTTAAGAACAGTTTCAGGTTAAGAATGGACCTCCGGAATGTACACAGCAGCGATTGATGGTATAGGTACCATGTTTCTCAGCAAGAGGAAACAGTGCTGGGTAAAATATACCTACTAAATTTCTGCCCGTCATAAAGTTGTTGTTAATTTCATTTCTATACCGCTTTATATTTTAAAGGAAAAAATCTCAAAGCTGTTTACAACACATTAAAACATCAAATTAATAAAACAACCCAGAATAAAACAAATTCAAGCTTCAAGGAAAATATTTCAGATCCTTCTCTAAGTGACATTTTGCTTTCCTCATATTTATTTACCTACTTAAATAGGTAAGTAGCAGAAGTACTCTAGGAAGCCAGTGTGGTGTGGTGGTTAAGAGTGTTGGACTGGGACCTGGGAGATCAAGGGTCGTGAGTGGGATAAAGTTAATTAGACTCAGCAATACCTAATGAGCTTTCATTCATGTATGCTCTTGGACAAAATGAATTTGGAGCATAACGAGAGGAACTAGTAAATCCGATAGGAAAAAAGAGCATGTGGTCTAATTAAGTGTGCATTCTGTGCAATTGCTCCTTAAATGCAAAGGCTGGACAACATATATGATAAAAGGAGGACAAGATGCTAGGGCAGGAAAAAGTTGGATATTGGGTCACTAAGTAGATGGCCGTTATTGGGACGGCACAGACACAGCCAAGTAGAAGTAGCTTTGTGATCTGCGGAAAGAGTAAGTGTAGCTGAAGCACTAATGGCATTCCGTTTAGAGAGCTGGGAAGCAAATTACAGGCAAGTTAATGCTGCATGAACATCTGTGACCCTGCGAATTGTTAGAAGGAAATAAGTTGTAGTAACAGAGAATAAGATTCAAAACTCATCTGTCTGAGTGCAAGTATCTCAAGGTGAAATAACAGAAGGAGAAGAGGCGGGAATATTGATTTCTGCCCTGCAAAACAGACAACAACGCCTACGTATTCCTGGAAGGGAATTTAACTCCCTAAGTGCATCATCTTTTTTAGTCTTCTGGTTTCTGTTGTGCTGGGACATTGGCTGTTAATTCAGATGCAGCATTTGATTGTTTTGCTTATATGCAGCTCTTGGACGAATGCGCCTTTAAGTAGCCCTTTAGATAATACCAAGCCCTCGAATTCTAACCCAGCACATGCAAAGTGCATGTGTCCTCTGACATTTAGTCAATAGCACATGAACATGTTGGCAGCTTTACTCTTCAAAACGTTTGCAACCACTGACCCGTTGCTGGGCACAGCTTTTAACCATTTTGAAAGTGAAAGGCTGCAAATAACACATGTATCGTTGAAAGCTGAAATGAGGTGCGTGCATTTTGTACTCGGCTCAAGATACATTGCAGAAGGAGTTCTTCATTTCAACATTGGGTTTCTTCTATGTAGATCAGTTCGCAAAGCTAAATCCCTTTATTCAGAATAGGTCACAAGGGTCAAATTAAGCACACCAGTGTACTGTAGTTTTATTTATAATTTTGAAATACAGTGGTACCTCAGGTTAAGAACTTAATTTGTTCTGGAGGTCTGTTCTTAACCTGAAACTGTTCTTAACCTGAAGCACCACTTTAGCTAATGGGGCCTCCTGCTGCCGCCGCACCGCCGGAGCACGATTTCTGTTCTCATCCTGAAGCAAAGTTCTTAACCCGAGGTAATAGTTCTGGGTTAGCAGAGTCTGTAACCTGAAGCGTATGTAACCTGAAGCATATTTAACCCGAGGTACCACTGTACGTTGATGGGACGCGGGTGGTGCTGTGGGTTAAACCACAGAGCCTAGGGCTTGCCTATCAGAAGGTCGGCGGTTCGAATCCCCGTGACGGGGTGAGTTCCCGTTGCTCGGTCTCTGCTCCTGCCAACCTAGCAGTTCGAAAGCACATCAAAGTGCAAATAGATAAATAGGTACCACTCCAGCAGGAAGGTAAACGGTGTTTCTGTGTGCTGCTCTGGTTTGCCAGAAGCAGCTTAGTCATGCTGGCCACATGACCCGAAGCTGTACACCAGCTCCCTCGGCCAGTAAAGCGAGATGAGCGCCGCAACCCCAGAGTCGTCCACGACTGGACCTAAAGGTCAGGGGTCCCTTTACCTTTACCTAATACACTGATATTGGAACAACTATTCTTGCTCCAACCAGCACATGTTCTGATTCCTCCTCTAGAGCTGCTTCATATCAGTGTTATGGCTGCAGCATGATTCCTCCCAAAAATATTTCTACGTGGAAGGTCTTCACATGGCTACATGTGGATCAGCACCGTTCTATGGAAACTCTCCATGCTACCAGACTCATTCTCAAAGCACTTTTCATGCTAAGATAATGTCTTTTACAGCAACTGCTGTATTGTTTCAACTGCACAGAAAACATTTTTCAGCATTAAACATGTTGCTGCCCTAGATATCCCAACCGACATGTGAAATAGCAAAAGCCACTTCCAGTGGGGGTAATTGGGACTGGAGAAGCAGGTGGCGGGAAGAAGGTAGTTAACCCTTTCCCTCTCTTCAGTTTTCCTGCTCAAAGTGTCCCTCTAAGGTCACATCCACAACATACATTTAAAGCACATGGCTTCCCCCAAAGAATCTTGGGAACTGTCATTTACACCCTCACATATCCACTTCCCAGCACCCTTTATTTTACCTTCTAGGTCCACATACCTTTTCCCATAAGGGAAGGAAGTAGTTGGGGAAGCTGAGTAAGAAAATAGCCCAAGGATTGGGTGGCAGCCAGGAGCAGGCATATTTTCCTCCACTAGTACTTTCTGCTGTATTACAGGCACTTGCAACTCCTTTCCCTTAAAAAGAAAACATTGCAGAGCCGTATCTAACATAGTTCATAGGAGTAGAGAATTTTGCAAGATACGGCTTCTTCTAGCACTCCATTATGGGAGGAGAATCTGCAATTGCTAATACTACGCAACTTTTAAAGTCATGGTAACTCTGACTTGCACTGAATCGGGCAAACAATACACAAGCTGGTACAAATACTGGTATTCGTGTATATATTCATAGAGTTCATGAACACACAGTTTGTCTTCTTCTGGCAGTGTGAAATCTAAGTAGCTCTGCTTTCTGCCCCAGAGACACATTGAAATAAATAGCTCAGAATCCAAGTGGGTATTTGCAGAACCAATACATAATACGGTTGGGGAAATCCCATGTGCTAGGCTGCCTGAGTACCTGGAAGTATCTGTAGCATTGAGATAATGGATGTGAAGTGTTTTGAACACTCAAAAATGTATATAAATGGCAAGTATTGTTATTGTTAAGTTAAATGCTGGTCCATAGGAATTTGTTTTTGGTGTAGCAATTTAAAGCTTCACTCCTACGCACACTGATGGCCAAAACAGTTGTGATGTTATGTTAAATGCTTGAATGCTTTTACTTTAGTTAGCCAGGCTTGAGACTAGCACCTGAAAGGTCTGAAAAAACTGATGCTGACCCCTCAGAGTTTGAAATATAGTCTCAGCTGTGGTACAGGGAGCTGTGTCAGCGGCAATGGCGATTCTGGATAGTAATAGATTTGCTATAATAGGCTAAAGAGATGGGAGTGTTGTGTTATTTGTAAAGGAAAGTCCTCCATTCACAGTCCAATTCACGTTGTTGGCAATGACTGTTAAATCCCAAATAGCCTGGGACCTCTCCACCTGAGCCTGGTTCTCAGCATACAACCTGTCAAGCAGCAATTTACTTCAGCCGAGATGCACTGCTGTTTGCTCCCATGGTGAAATGCCTCAGTAGGGATTTCTCTTATGAGAATCCCTGCTTTGGGAATTCATTCCCCAAGGCAGTTGCTGCAGCTGATTCCCACAGTTGACAAGGCTGAATACTAACGTAACTTTGAAAATGAGGAAAGCATGCTGACTCCCCCCCCCCCCAGGAGCATCCAAAATAGAAAAGGAAAACATTGAAGAAGGAGAAATGATGAAGAGGAAATAAAGTCCTGTCAGGCAACAGTTTCTTTCATGCTTGGTTCAGTGGCCTAAGTGCCAAACCTGAATTTGTGTGTGTGCGTGTGTGTGTGCGTGCGTGCGCACGCCAAAGGAAAGAGGCACCAGTTAATGTGAGGATAATGTGAAATGTGCATAGTTATCAAAATGTACACGTGCCAGCAAATAATGAATAATGATGGCACCATCATGCACTTGTATTTTTGTCTTTGCCGTGGGTTGTGGGCTGCTGAAAAGAGCACGGAAGTTCTTTCCGTTAGTATCATAGATATTACGCGCACAATTTTCAGCGTCATCCTTCTGAAAATCCTGGTGCTGCTTTTTGCCTTTATCTTCTAGTTTGTGAAATGAATCAACAATTGGATCATCAGCAGAGTTCCATCTGTCAAGTATTACTAAGTCCGGGACATCATCCAGGGATGGATTTCCCATAGTTTCTATTGTCCAGAATAGGTTTCTAACTTGTCTTTGAAAGTTCATTTGCCCTTATTTATGATGCGGGAAGTCTGGGGTGATGTCTGAGCCATCACTTGGAACATGCCCTTTCTCAAAACGTTTTTCAGCAGGTTGCTAACTGTGGACCACAGAGCATCCAGCATCTGAAAGCAGTGGAGTTTCATGAAGACCAGAATTATGCACTCGTACATTCCTTGACAATCTTGTTTTCTCATTCACTAGATTCATCAATTGGGGGTGTGTGTGGTTTCTTCTTTTATTCAGGAGCCAGTCTTGATGATTCTCTAAATCCAGAGATAGGGAAACTGTGGTTCTACAGCTGGTGCTGGGCTGTAATTTCCACAGTCCTTAACCACTGTCACAGAATGTGCTGGTCAGTAATCACACAGACCAAAGTTGGAGTTAACTTTGTATTAGCAAAAACAAGATCTCCACAGACTTGGCTGAGTGTCAAGCCTAATGAACACAGCAGCTCATTCCCAGTGGGTCTTCCTCCATGAAATTAGTTGCCAAGACTAAAGGTCCCTACATCTCCACAGCTGTCTGTCTCTTCCTCTCCAGGTCTTTTACCAAGCAATCAGAGACCGTGCCTGCATGCAGCCAATCTCTCCTCTGCCCTTTTCATGCCTCTCCTGGTTATGAAAGAAACAGGGAGGGGGTAGTGGAGTTTGCCCAGCAGGAAAGGGAGACCCCCATGACTCTTCATCAGCTTGACTCATCTCTGCCTGTTGACCTTCCTCCTCCCACTTGCCAGCTTCAGCTTCTGAATGTTGACTTCTCCCTAGAACAGACTCCCAGCTCACTAAGCCCTGTTACCCCTTCAGCTTCTGACACCTCCTCTTCCCAGTCTTCTCCCTCTGACCACTCATCACTGTCCTGCCGCCACTGGGCTCTGAGCCTTCTTCCCTTGCTGGTTCCCCAGCTGGTTCTTCCCACTCTGCATCCAACCAGTCCTTGACAACCATTGTTGGCTGGGGCTGATGGGAGTGGAAGATCAAGAACATCTTGAGGGCCACAGGTTGCCCACCCCTGCTTTAAAAAAGTGGTTAATAAACAGAAAGGGTTTACAAAGCCAAAGTGAGTAAATGAGCAGTAAAATGGCAAATGCAATTCAGTGTAAACAAGTGTAGAATGATGCACTTTGAGGTTTAAAGTCTTACTGAACACCCATGAGGGTCTCAACTGGTGGCAACTGACCAGGAAGAAGACCTTGGGGCTGTAGCAGATAATTCAATGAAGATGTCAACCTTGTGTGTAGCAGCTGTGAAAAAGGCAAATTACATGCTAGGGATGATTAGGAAAGGTATTGAAAATAAACCTGCTGATATCATAATGCCAGTATACAAATCTATGGCGGGACCACATTTGGAATACCATGTGCTCTTCTGGTCACCTCATCTGAAAAAGGATATTGTAAAGTTGGAAAAGGTTCAGAAAAGTGCAATCAAAATGATCAGTGGGGATGAGGAAAGGTTTCAGCTTTTGGGGACATTTTTGTTTAGAGAAAAGGCGAATAAGAGGTGATATGATAGAAATTTGTAAAATTATGCATGGCATGGAGAAAGTGGTTAGAGGGCATGGAGAAAGTGGTTAGAGAATTTTCTCTCTCTCCCTCATAACACTAGAACCTGTGGACATCCAATGACGCTAAATGTTGAAATATTCAGGACAGACAAAAAGTAATTTTTCCACACAGTGTATAATTAAAGTATGGAATTTGCTTCCACAAGAGGCAATGATGGCCACCAACTTGAACGGCTTTAAAGGAGTATTAGACAGCCCATGGAGGATAAGGCTACCACTGGCTATTAACCCCAGGGGGCTATTACATCCACTTTCAGAGGCTTCTGAATACCAGCTGAGTTCTGAACTGCAGGGGACGAGAGTGCTCTTGCACTCAGGTTCTGTGCATGGGCTTCCCATAGGCATGTGGTTGGCAACAGTGAGAACAGGATGCTGGACTTGATGTGTCACTGGCCTGGTCAAGCAGGTTCTTCTTGTGTTCCTTTAGTGATTGGACGGGGTAATTGTTTCCTCTCACTGATATGCCGATACGTATTTGATAACTACTTTTGCACATGCCCCAAGACAAAAAATTATGTTTAAGTTGACAGATGGCCAACCCTCTGGAGGGGTCCACACGCCAGAGTGGGAGTGATGAAAGTACGAAGTGGACATGGCCAAAGTTTTTAAAAGGGGTGTGACTATTTCTTTTCTAAGTAGAAATAGGGGTGAAAAATACCTTTTGGCATCAGGGAATCACAGCAGAGGGGAGTGCAGTGTAATCTTTTTTTTTTTAAATGAAAATTATGACAAATTGGGGAATCACATCAGGGCACCTATGAAAGCTGTGAGATTTCTTTTAAAAGTAATAATTAAAATGTCTTTAAAAAAATTAAAATGGACAAAAATTGGAGACTCCTTGTGCAGCGACAACAAAACCTTTTGGCATCATAGTGAGGGACTCATAGTTTGTTTTTTTCGTTTTGTTTTTAAAACTAATATAATAATAATTCTTTTTTAAAGATACATTATTGGGAAGCCACGAAAAGCTTACGGGGGTGGGCACAACTATAGCCCACTGGTTAGCCACCACTGTCACAGAAGGAGACCACAACAGAGGGCTTATCCAGACTTCCATTTAGCCCATTGCTTTCCTTTGGGGAAACCCGTTGTTTAGCACTGAATTGGAGCAAACGGCAATCGGGTTTTCCACCGATTGCAGTTTGTTCCAATTTTATCACTAAAGAGTGAGTTTTCTAGGGGGAAGTTGTGCGGCAAAGGCAAAACTGCTTGGACCTGTGCTTTCTAGGCGGAAGTGTATCCAAGCCCTCAGATGAGAGGGCAAATAACTACATTTGCCTGGCTTCAACAATGTGCCTGCCAATAGCTCACAAGGAAGATCTCTGGTGATGGCTAACTATGGGGGAAAGGGTGCTTTGCACACAGAGTATCTTGTGCAAAACAGCCTGTCTCCACAAGGCAGATTGAAGCGAATGAACTTGAGCTCATTGATAGCACTTTTCTGCATAGAACCTTTACAGCATAGGACCTCAGCATAGGACTCAAGACACAAACACTCAAGTCCAGACTCCATTCCCAAAACTGGGGGTGCCAAAACAGAGCATCACACAAGTAAGCAAGGGAAAGGGGAACACCTGTTCTCATGTGTAACTGCTACAGCTGTTTCCCTTGTCTCGCCCAGCCACTTTCCCATGAGTGAATACTGTGTCTTGCACAAACTGTCTTTGCTCTAGCACTCTTCTCCCTTAACTGTGGGGAGCAGTAATCTCCAAAAAGGAGAAAGATTCATTCCCACATGCCGGTAAGCTCTCTGTTGGCAAACACCATTATCATCACTGGGCAGAGGCTCAAGAGGTCTTTTGCCTTGCAGGATCACAACCCAGATGCACGGAGCAGAACAAACCTCCCTTGTGCACACAGTTTCACTACAATCTGCAAGGGGGAGCTATATGCCTGTATTGTTTTTCTCAGGTCCGCGCTTAGATAGCACCACTCATTTTCTCAGCTTCATAATCACTTGCTGTGCATCTAGATTCAAGTACTACATGCTCCAGCTGCTGAGCATTCCTCATTGTCCTCTTTCTGTCTTCTTGGGCTCTCTGCAGGCCACTGTCCCAAAGGTAGAGAGGTCCACCCCACACCTCGACAAGCCCATCCTGGTGATCAGCAGCAACGACCCAGATATTGTTGACTGTTCTTTCATGTTAACATATTTGTGCTAGGTAGGCTCCTGTATCCTGGAAAAATGCACAACAGACAGTTATGCAACAGGTGAAGTTGTTTCTACCGTGGAGCTGGTGCCATAACTTCCTGTCCTGCCACTGTCCAAGGCACAAGAGCCTTACTAGAGTGCCTGCCTGCCATCCCACACATTTGACTTCCCTTTCAGAATCTCCTGCCTCCAGGAGACTGTTCCATAAAGGATTTCAGTTTTGCCACATGTGTTGCTTCTTTGCTGAAGGTGGTGGATATGGGTTTCCCCCCCACAATCACCCCATTTCCCTGGGGTCTGTCAGATCGCACAAATGGGATTGGTGCTGGGGTGTATTTTGCAGTTACTGGGTTAGGAAAGCGAAGGATGTGTATAATGCAGAAGAGATCAAGAAGGGCATTGAAGCCTTCTAGGATGCTACCTGACAGGGTTAGCATATGAGGCAACATTGGGTGGGGGATGGCCACATCAGGGGAAGGAGTGGGCCAAAAGGCAATTGCTCTATTCGGGGACAAGGCTATTGGTCCATGCAGTGCTGCCCTTGGTTGTATGGAGACCCAACATCCCTCCTATTTTCTAGCATGAGGGTGGGGTGTGTGTGTCTTAATTTGAAGCATGGTCCTTCACCATGCAAAACATGAGCCATTCTGTGCAGATAGTTCCTCTTGCATCCCCTGTGCTTGTGGGGCGGGGGTGTGTGGAGGCAGGGGACGGGACAAAGACCTCATGCAGTGACTGAGCTCTGCTGTAACCAACTGGTTAGGGAGCTGCCTTGCAGAGTTTGCAGCTCCCTCTCTTTTACTCCTGAGATGACTGTCTGCCCACCTTGCTGTCATATAAATGGTGAAGGGGGCTATATTCCTGCCTTCCCTCTGGAATGTTGATCTCAGGGTCAAGTCCCACGATGGGCAAAAGATTCGTGCATTGCAGGGAGTTGGACTAGATGTTCAGTGCTGTCCAGTGAGCCAGTGGAGGCTGCTGCTATCTGTGTGTGTGTCTTTGGCTGCCTTGGTTGCCTGTCCTGGTTCCTCCCCCTTAGCTACTTGGCAAAAAAAGTTTTTCCTTTCTCTGGGTAGGTCTCAAAATCTTTGATTCAGGAGCTCTCTCTCTCTCTTTGTGTGTGTGTGTTTTCTCTGCAATCTGTTATGTGGGTGTGTTTTCTCCTCCCCTTTCTCTGTGCTTTGCAGCTAAAACAGTGTGTGTGAATGGTATAAGGGGATTTGAACCTCAGACTGTGGGGTTGCCTTGGGACTGCCTGTAACAGGGTTACAAGCTGTGGGCTTGTTCACATGGTGGCTTGTTCACATGGTGATGTAAGAGTGTGTGCCAGGGTGGAGTGGGATTTCTACATTGCCATTAGCTCTTTGTATGGGGGGGGTCATGTGGGCACTGGTGGCAGTACAGTCCCCAATTGTGGCCCAGAGTGGCTGGGGAAACCCAGCCAGATGTGTGGGGTATAAATAATAAATTGTTGTTGTTAGGCTGTGGTGGTGTTTCCTGGGACACTGTGTGAGTGTCTATCATTCTAATGCATTTTTAATATTTTTTTGTATGTATGTTCCCTTTTTCTCCTGGTCATGCAGCAGAGGTGTATTTCTGCCCTGGCATAATATGAGTGCTCTGTTAGGCACAATTAAGAAGAGCTCAGGTTACAATGACAGGTAGAAAGATTTTTCTATGAGAACAAGTTATTTGGTGGGTTATTTTGTTCATTTCTGCACTGTGGAACTATATGTGGCCTCTGTAGAATGCCACAAAAGTCCTGACAGTTTCTGAATCGGAGGTCCAATCCAGTTTCAATTTGGGGTTGAACTGGAAGGATACGTCCTTGGGCATTTAAAGATGCTGCCATGAACCCAGAGATAAATAGTAGCTTCAGTGAATACTTAGACTTCAAAAACAACTTTGTTGCCAATGTCAGCAAACTACTCTGCATAGAGTGAACTCTCTTGTGAAGTTAGCTTTTGCATCATCAGAAACCTGAACGTAAGCCAAAACTGTAATAACAAAAACCTCTCACTGTTATTGTTTATAAAGACAAATCAGCTAATTGAACAGTATCACACTGAAATCGCTTTTGAAAACGAAAAGACAGTTGTGAACTAACAAGGAACTGGTTTGTGGCATTATGGTCATGCGTGTCCTCCTGGTGTAATAACTGTATAAGTTTGGCCGAATATCTAATGGTAAATTAGTGATTACATTGCCACCAGATGGAAATATAATAATAGCATAAAGCCACCAAATAACTGTAAAGGGCAGAACAATAAAACCAAAATTAACCGGAGGCAAAAAGGATTTAAAACTGTTAGATCAAACAGCAATTATAAACTTCTAAAAAGCCTGGGCAGATAAAAAGGCCTTCATCTGGCACTAAAAAGTGCAGTGCTTGAATCTGGCAAACCTTTCTGATATCATGTGAACTCCAGAGATGGGGTGCCAGCACTGAAAAAGCCCTACACATGCAGCAAAATGAATTGGGAACTAGGTGGGGGAATGGTGAGGTGACAGAAAGCACTCCACCTCTTTAGCCTGAGGACAGAGAACACCATTTTTAAAAAGTGCTTCTTTAAAAACTAGCATATAAACCTTGCTTGTTGCACTGGTTTTAAGAATGTAGGAGCCCTGCTGGAAAGACGCAAGGGTCTTTCTAGTACAGCATTCTTTTTCCAACTGTAGTCAACCAGACAGTTCTGGGCATTCAGGCAAAAGTTCTCTTGTTGTTTGCCTACCCTCCAAGAACTGATATTCAAAGGAATGTCATCTCTGCATTGGGAAGCTTCGTTTAGTAATTGTGGCTAGTGCCTGTTCAAGGACCTGCCTCCCATGAAAATATCTAATCCCATTTTAAATAAATGAAGTTGATATGCTTTTAAACATTATAATCTTAATTCTTTATGTGTGTCTGTGTGTTTTTTAAAAAACTTTTTTGTTTCAGATTTCTAGTATGTTGCCTCCAGGCCGTCTTTGTAAGGCAACTAGCAAACTAAATAAAAATAAAAATTAATAATAAAAAAATTATTTTAGGAGATCTGCTATCCAATAGTGTCTTTGAGTGTGAGCTGTGCAAAGAGGTTGCCCCAGCTGCAAACTTAGTGGGTGGATACAGGCAACTGATATGGAAATTGTATCTGCAATATGGGTGTAATAATGCTGACCTACCTTCGAAGAGTGTAACAAGAATCACAATGTACATGGAGTGCTTGGAACACTATAAAGTGCAACATAAGTACTAAATATTATTACAACAGATTCTTAACCTGTGCTTTCTGAAAGACAGCCTCCCATTTACGTCCTGCGCAATAATATTTGCAGGGCCTTTCAGATGTTTATGAAACATATTTAGAAAACCACATCTCAATGCTTCCATAAAGATGTGTATTTTGTTGTTATTAGATATTGTAGTCTTGGTCCTAATGCATATCACTTTGTTCTCTTTATCCGTTTATGATAGGATCATTTGCTCAGACTATTTGTGCATTTATTTCCTTCTCCACCAATGGGCACAGGTTCCTGGGTGAGTGGGTGGGTCATGGGCAGATGAGCTCTATCTGCTCAGCATGCAAGTTACTTAAAAAAAACCAAAAACCTTCTATGAGACCTTATGAAATATAAAATGCGTGATAACTTCTCAGAGGCTTGGAAATGGCACTGTAGAGCTGGCATAGCCTGTGGTAAACACATACACCATGGTCTATGGGCAAACTGGTTTGGGAAGTTTTCAAAGGGCTTTAAATTGTACTGTAGAAAGTTGAAACTGGCCCCCCAAATCTTATTGGTGCAACAGATCTGCATGTTTGGGCTTGATTTCTGTGTGTACGTGATAGAGTGCTCACAATGAGAACACACTTTTTGCAGTTTTTTTAAGTATGTGAAAGAATCGATGCTTAAATACATATCCTCACGCACTATAGCCATTAAAGCAGTTCAGAGCTACCTCTCCCTCTCATCCATGTCCCACACACTTCCGTTTTCTTGGCTGTGTGTGTCAGGCACTGTGTATTCATTTCTGCAACCATAAGGGCTAGTAACTTGTTTGTTTGTTTTTTAGGTGGAAACCAAAGTTCTTAGGAAGCTAAATTACCAGTTTCCATGTTCACATTCAGTGCTTGTTGTGTATTTCAGAAACATGACTTACAGACACATCTTTCCCCATCCTTCACTGTGGTGCCCATGATAGCCCCAGTGAATTTCGGCTACAAAGGGAGCTGAAGAACTGGCTGTTTCTGTTACTATTGGTTGGTGCCTCCAGTTCAAAATACAACGGAGACAATGTGGATTTGCCTCCTGTATTCCATTATGCTGTTATTGGGGGGGGGGGGGTTTGAGAAGGGATGGGCAAAAACGTAAGGTGCAAAATTCCCACTCGAAGGTGAGGGTGAGGAAAGGAAACAGGAGGAAATATGTTAGGGGTTAGACTTGAGAATTGAACTTTAGTAAGAGTATATGGTGGAGAGGGTTAAGTCTCCTGCCTCCTAGAGACAAGAAAAGGAGGCACAAATTTTCATTTCATCTCATTGCCGTTTAATTGTAAAGACGTGTGGAAATTAAAAATGCTGGAAGCTAATCCCTGCAAATTCATTATAACCACTGTGGTTTGTGGATATCTGTAGCTAGCCACAATCCACAGGCCAAGAGGAGCTGTATTAAATCAATATGAACATGGTTCCTCCGCCGCCTTTTGGCTTTTTTATGTCTGTTTTGCCAGCGAAGTGTCATACGGGTGCAATCCACATACCTATCGAAACCAATGACCACAGTTCCGTAGATTGTAATGGATCTGGAGTATACCTAGCAAAATTAAAGCGTGAGATGCGTTTGGTTTGGTTGATAGCCCGCAGGGTTTATGTAATAGGGCACACAAGACGGGGGAGCGGGCGTATGAGCTTGGAAGGAGAGAATAAATCTGGGAGCCGATCAGATTTGGGGTCCGCCCGATCGCCGAGATGGAATGCATCTCCTGAATTAATACAACGACCCCGACCTCCCGGCCAGAGAGCTCGGCTTTTAATTCTGCAAAATCCAATTTGTGAGCCTGCAATTGAGATGGATGGTGCAGACATGCTCTTTAAATCAGTGTCTGCTATTTTGTGGGGGGGGGGCAAGTGGAGGCGGGAGGAGAACGTGTGTTCGCCCTGTGCTGCGCTGCAGCCCGACTCCCTGCCTCACTCGCCCTGTCTCTTGATTTTGGTAAGAGCCTGCTTCAGGCTTACGCATCTCAGCGCGGCGAGGTGTCGTGTGTGCTTTTGCAGCGTGCGGCGCGGCTGCCGTACCTGGGAGACGAGGGGCCCTGAGGTGTGGGAAGTGTGCAGAGCCTCCGTGTGTGTGTTTTGTGTGTGCGCGCCCTGCCTGGGTGTGGCTTAGGCTTGGGACGTGTGCCTCCCCCTCGCATTGCCACAGAGACACTTCTGTGCCTTCTGATGCCTTGAAATAAACGTGCCGAGATTCCAGGCCGGCTCCGAGGAGTTCCTGGTGGAGATGGGTTTGCGGGGGGTGTGTGTGTGGTGGGGGGAAAAGAATATTTTTTTTAAAGGGCAGCATGTCGCTTTAAGAAGTGCCATTGGGTGGCTGCGTCTTTAAGAGAGAAGAGGCGGCGGAAAGAAAACTACCTTGAGGTATGGGGCTGGCCTATGCTAATTGCGGGGGCGGTGCCAGGATGAATGGAGGGAGGTGAGGGCGGTGCTGCTTTACAGGGGAGGAAGGACCCATGCATTCAAGGCCTGTCTCTTTAAGGAATCAGTTGATACCATTCCGAGAGAGAGGAAAGGGGGGGATCTAGCCCCCCCTCCTCTCCACCGGGACACTACCATTCCCGTTGCTGGGGAGGCGAGGCGGCCCCGATGGCTTGGAGAAGTCAAAGTCTGCCCGTGAGTGAGGAGGGGACGTTCCATTGATTGGGTGGGCCGGGGGGGTTGGGGGAAGCGCGCGCGCGATAGGCTGCTTCATTCGCGGGGAGCGGACGGGGGGGGCGCGCGCAAGAGAAGGAGGGAGGCCGAGGGGCGATGGGCGGTACCATGTGGGAGAGGGGGAGGAGGAGAAGGAGGAGGGGGGAGGCTGGCTGGCTGGCGGACAATGGAGCCTGTGTGTGTTTGCGGGAAAGGAGCGAGTTCGCCGTCGCCGGGGGGAGACGCTGCGCCGCCGCCGCCGCCTCCTGCCCGGGGCTGAGAGGTGCCCCCCGGCCGGGCCAGGCCCCTCCGCCCTTGGTGGGCAAGAGCGGTGAGCGTGCGGAGGGAGGCGGGCAGGAGGCTCCTCCGCATGGTGCCAGCGGCACCCGTGGAAACTGCGGGCCGTGGGGAGGCGGGCTGTGCGCGCGCGTGTGTTGAGGTGGTGCTGGTGGGGGGGGGCGACGCGGAGAGAGGACGAGGGGCCGCCGGGTAACCGCCCTCCCGCCTGCCTGTTCGGGGGAAAGTTTCGGAGTTTGGGGGCTGGTCGAAAAACCTGGCGCGGGCGGGCGCGGGGAGCGTGAGGTGGGGGCGCGGGCGGGAGGGAAAGAGGCGGGAGGGGTCGGCGCTTGGCAAAGCGAGGCGGGGGTGGGGGCGGCTCTGATTAGTCGCCCGAGGCGGGCGGGCGGGGGGGGGGCGGGTTGGAAGGAGAGCCGTGGAGGAGGCCGGAGGGAGGAGGCGTGTCCATCGCATGAGGGGAAGAACAAACGGCCGGGGGGGGGGGGGAGAGAAACCTTGAGTCAGGGAAAAGGGGGGCGGGTGGGCTATCTGTGTACACGGAGTAGTATGTGGATGCGCTTGGGTGTGTGTGTGGATGGTGTGCGTGTTGTGGCAAAGCGGGTGTCTGGGCAGGAGATGCCAGCCCTTTGGGGCGGGGGGGGGGTTCGTGCGTCTCTGTGGGTAACGGAGGAAGGCAGCCTGGGTTAGGAAAACAGGGTGGAAGGAACGGAGTGAGCCTGGGAATTTGGGGGTAAGGAACGCTTCACACTCCCCCACCCCCGTTTGCCTTCTCCCCGTTCCAGTTAAATAAGGGGATTTGCTATTGTGGGTCGCCGCTGAAAGGGGGAGGATTTTGCAGATGCTTCTGGAGGTGAGGAGCTGCTTTAGGCTTTGAGGTGGGGGGGGGGGTAAGAGGGACGGAGTGTGTGTTTGTGTCTTCTGGGCTGCCTAGGCAGTCGCCATGGGCCTGAGGGGGCAGTACAGAAGAATAAAAGTGCAAGGGGGTAAGAAAACGGCTTGTGGATCCAGTGCGTGGAAATGGGGTGGCCGTAGGCAACCCCCGGCAAGGCTGTTAAGAAAGTAAGGTGTGCAGAGCTGTTTAAGAGGTCTTTCTGTACATGACCAGAGAGCATAGTGCTCCCCCTCCCAACAATGCTGGTCAGAGGGATTGTGAACTAGATGCCCAGTCTGCAAGGATACTATTCCACATTGCTAGTTAAAGGGAGCTGTAGATCTTGGGCGGGGGGGGGGGGATAAAAATCAGGGGCTTGATAATTTCTCCTGAAGTGCTGTGAATATTGGTCAGTCCCTGTTTGCTTAATTGCATGTGTAGGTAGATGGTGCAAATCTGTTGAGGTTATCTCCACCCTGGAAATTTACACGTTCGGTCATTTTTTAGTTCTGTAGTTAGAACCACATGCAGCTTAGATCATACTATGCATTGGTCTTAAAGTAATAGATTAATTGCTCTTACATTCCAAAACCATTTTTGTAAATGGGGAGACAGACTTGCTCCTAAGTTTTGACCTGTGATATGTAGAGTTAGTACGTAGTTTTCAAAGCTGAATTAGGTAGGAGAGGCCACACAATTCAGTAGGGCCTTTTTTTCCTAGCCTTTCTTGAGTCTGGTCTTTAGGTCACTTGAATGTTGATGTAGCATTGAAGGGGTAGTATACAAAGAGAACTTGTTTTTTTTCTGAAATGCTAAATACTCTGGTGTGCTGTCTTAACTTCAGATTGGCAGTCTTTGCATTCGGTTTATTCTACCTCCCTGTTTGCTACTTTTTTCTTACTAAACTAATGCGCCATTTAAATAAACAACAGAGTAGGCTGACTAAAATGCAGTCCATCAACTTGTGTTAAGATGAGAGGAAAAATGTCTATTTTGGTTCGCACTGAAACTTGAGTTATTTTAATGTGTTGTAAAATGGTGGCAAGGTAAAAAACATTTGTGTAAAAGTAGTTAAAAGAAAAGCACATTGGAGTATAGCAGCGTGGGCACATCATATCATCCACAAATATCACTTGCTTCCATTCAGCTTTATTTTTAATTCATATATTCAAGTGTACACAGTCTGTAGTCATTGCAGCAATTCCTGGAGGGGTAGTTCCTCAGTACTTTCTATCTGAGGGGAACTGAGGGCACTTCCACAAATGAAGCTAAGAACTTCATTTATATATCACTTTGAATACTGTTGACTGAGTGTGGTGTGCTAAGAAATGCTTTTAAATGGCCTGTATGTTCTCATTATTATGGCTCTTCCATTCAGCTTACAGATGAGATGAAATTTAGCCAGTTGGTTGGAATAGTGTGATGAATGTGAGCTAGTTTTGCTCAAAACTACCTGGTAAATTTTTGGTCCATAAACCAAATTTGGAATGTAAAACTAATTCAACATACTGTACATTTATTTCCTCTTTATCTACTTGATTTTGCTTAGCTTGAGGTAGGGCTCAGCAACCTGGACAATGTGTTCTGGGGGAGGGGGGATCCAGCAGAAGAGCTGCAGCTAATTTACACTGATTTGCATTTATCTAAAGCGTGCCACTTGACATATTATTTTGGTGTCAAGTTAGATGTTGCATTTATGAGTCATGTGTATTAAAATATGGTGAACGTGGACTATCTTTATTGAACTTGGAAGATGTTGCACTCTTAAATAATGATGCTCAGGATTTTTGTTGTTCTCACTTATGGTTTTAAGCCAAATAAGAGTGACCTGGGACCTCATCTGGGTGTGTATGTGAAGTGAAATTGTTCCTGATAAGAGGGAGTTGCCAAACTAATACTAGTCATGTTGCTTTCTTAGCTGAGCAGTAGCATCTCATTTTGACTAGAGGAAGTAAAAACTTTTCTGCTTCTGCACTTCCCAATCCCTCCAGGTAACAGTGAGCAGCTGAATTGAGGCATGGTGTTACCCTTGATGGGTGCTCCACAGCCTAGCAGTTCGAAAGCACGAATGGCAAGTAGATAAATAGGTACCGCTCCGGTGGGAAGGTAAACGGTGTTTCCGTGTGCTGCTCTGGTTCGCCAGAAGCGGCTTAGTCATGCTGGCCACATGACCCGGAAGCTGTACGCCGGCTCCCTCGGCCAGTAAAGCGAGATGAGAGCCGCAACCCCAGAGTTGTCCACGACTGGACCTAACGGTCAGGGGTCTCTTTACCTTTACCACAGCCTACTGTGCTTTCATCTGACAGCATTCTATAGGCTATCTCATTATTGTAGTTGTGCCCTTGACCTTTAAAAAGCGATTGGTTAAATAGTTGACAAATATGTGTAAGCATTAATCTTTTTAGAACAAAAAAGATACTTCAGTAATCAACAAGTTTGAGGCTTCTAATTTCAAAAACAAAGGAGTTCAGTTTGTCAGGGGCATACAAATTTTGTGTGGCCACCCAAAAAGTTGTGGCTTCCAAACATTATCACCATGCCCTTGTTTCAAGTGATGGGGACCCTTGCTTAGAGCTAAGGAGAGGCTTTAAGGATTTGTGGAAGGGGCCTGAGAACATCTCCAAAGCACTCTGCAGCTGCTGAGACAAATCTCCCACTTCTTCATAAGCTCCAAGCTTGAGAATTGGATTTGTGTTCTTTGCATTTGATTTTTGTGTGCAAGTTGTTTATTTTTGAATATTTATATCTCATGTTTTGGGTTAAAAGAGCCCCCCGAAGAGCTTACAATATATTAAAAACATAAAGTATTGTAATAAAATAGTATTAAAACCCAGCAATAAATCATTTGTAGCAGCAGGATGCAAAGTTAAAAGATTCCAAAAACCAGGTTAAAATAAGATATTGATCATCTGTCTAAAGATTATGAGAGTGTGAACCCACTAGTTTTCCTGGGGAAGGTAGCCTTGACACCACTTCTTAAAAGGCCCTGTCCTATCCCCACCAATCATCCTACCATCCATGGCTCTGAATGGAAAGGACATGGAGCAGGAGATCTGATGATTATCCTAAATGTTGGGAAGACTTGTGTGGGTGGATGTGTTCCATTAAATAACCTGGCTGCAAACTATTTTGAGCTTCGGAGGTAATTGTGCCAGGTTACTAACAACCTTAATTTGTGCCAGGTTACTAATTGGAAGCCATGTGAGCTACAATAGCTTCCAGTTAATTTCCTGACATAGTCTGTGGGTTCTGTGGGGGGAGGAAAAATGGGGGGGGATAAGGATAAGTTTTTGGAAAATATGTTTTGTTATAACTTTGAATAAAAAAAATAAAAAAAATAATTTTCCAACTTCAGCCATAGCTCCCCCCTCCCCCCAAAAAAATTTCCTGACATAGTAACAGAGTGAATTGATTTAAATCAGCAAGGAACAAGGCCTATACAACTTCATATATTTCCTAAATCTGATGAGTATACCTTGTTGATTTACAACTAGAATATTATCTTCACTGGTTTATTATTACAACCAGGCCTCCTTTCATTGACGTTGTCACAATGTGTAAATTTTGCATGCTTTAGGTTTTTTTTATCTATACAGAGACCATTCAATATAGGTTGTCTCTTACAACTAACTCCCATAACAGTTTGAGTCTTGCACAAGACAGTGCAGTCTTGTAATATCTACTCAGAAGTAAATCCCATTGCGTTCAAAGGCATTTACTCCCCAGCAGCTGAGTCTAGGATTGCAGCCTAAGCGTGGGAATCTGCACACTGGGCATTTTTTTCTTTTCTTCTTTTTTCCAGTATTGCTCCTTTCTGTTTCATTCTGCCTTGGGCTAGCCTCCTAAAAAAAAAAAAATACAAGATTTGATAGTAGCTGGACAGACAAGGGAAACTTATTTTCACCAGGTGAACATAAGCTTGTGTTTCGAGCAAGTATTCATATCTGATAAATGAGCAAATCATTTCTTCATTTACATAGAGAAGAATCCTTTAACTTGCTGTATCTGGAAGATACATTGATTTGCTTTAGTGATTAAGACTGCAATCCTAATGTTAGGGGAGGAGCAAAATCCAAAGGAGATTCAGCTGCCTTAATTGAAAATCCTGTGAGTTGAGCTAGCAGGATGAAAGTGAGAGTGGTGGAAGGCCTTTGGGTTCTTCCGTCCATTTCCTGCTGTGTTTTTCTGTTTTGACATTTCCCTTTCTATTTTTGCTAGAAGGAGTGGAAGAAGAGATTTAAACATGTTCAGAAGTGTTACTTAAATAAATAAACCTGGTTTGGGTGTGTGACAGGAGACTAGGAGGACTCAGGATCCCAGCTCCTTCCCTCCGTATTCCTTCTTGGACCATCCAGTGTTGGATGTTGGTTGGGCCAGAATGCCGGAAGACTCATTGCAGTTAAATAAGAAGGCCTCAACATTGGATCTCTCACTCATGTTGGAGAGGTAGATCTGATCTATCTTAAGGCCCCTCAGATGCCCTCCAAGAGACCATAGTATTGCAGTCTGAACTATAGGACAAGCATGTGGATAATACATAACTGAATATTAATCTAATTATTTAAGAGAAGTATACATACGTACGTACACACACATTTAAATACAATCCTTTATCCTGGTTGGATATTAAGGCAGTGTATAATCAAATTATATTGTAGTATGGGAAACAACTGGAAGATGATATCAAATAGAACACCTAAAAGCAGAACTAGAAATAAAGCCAATTTAAATGCCTGGCCGAGTAAAACTTTTGCCTGGTGCTGAAAAAGAGTGCAGCATAGGTGCCATGCCAAACCACTTTAGGGACGACATTCCATAAATGGGGTGCCAGTGCTGAAAAAGCAAACTCCTTTGTGACTGAGTAAGAACAGAAGAAGAGCCCTTTAGCATCAGTTCAAAGGCCTGTCTAATCCAGCATCTGATTTCTCACAGTGGCCAACTAAATGCCTCCCAGAGTCCCACAAGTAGGATATGAACAGAAAAGCACTCTCCGCTCTTCTGATACTGGTATTCAGTGGCTTGCTGCTTCTGATCCTGGAGCTCATAAGTAGCCATCATGATTAGTAACCCTTGGGAGACAAATTCATGGCAGATAAAACTAATTAAAACTCTAAATTGGTAGTCATTAATACATCTTGTTGCAGTGAATTCCAAAGTTTAACTCAGTGCTTTGTGAAGAAGTCTTTTTTTTGTCTGTCCTGAATCTCCCAGCTCTCTGCTTCATTGGATGACCCTTGCTTTTAGTATTATGAGAGAAGAAGGAAAAACTTCTCTCTATTCACTTCCTCTACTTGGTGCTTAATTTTATTACACTTTTATCATGCCGCCTTACTCTTCCACCACCCCACTCTCAATTGGGTTCAAATGTTGTAGCTGCTCCTTGTAGATGTCCTGCTGTAGCGCTCTGGTAATTTTTGTGGCTTTTTTCTTCACCTTGCCCAACTCTACAATATCTTCCTTGAGATGCAGCGATAAGAGTTGTACAGAGTTATCCAAATGTGGTTACACCATAGATTTCTGGAAAGGCAACTTTCTTTTCAATCCCTTTCCCACTGACCCCTAACATGCCTTCACCACTGATGGGGGCACCTGGAGAAGGGCTTCAGCAGAATTCTCAAGGCACTGGCAGGTTGGTGTGGGAATAGGTGTCATTCTGGTATGCTGTGTGAAATGGATCTTGGCTGCCACTTTTTATACCAGCTTTAGTAATGACCTGTTCATGTAAAGTATAACTCAGTGGTATTAGGCAACATTTTTACAATTGCGTGCAATTCACGGAAAAGTTCTCTTGGGCTTTTATCCTGGAACAGCCAACCTGCAGTTGCCGTACTTCAAAAAAATGAAGACAGAAATAAAACCATATAGTAGCAACTATTAAACAAAAAACTTTTTTTTTCCAAAAAAAGACAGCTGTGCTAAATAAGCAGCTGGCCAAATTTTCAAGCATCATCGTTTTGTGGAATATTGAAAATATTTGACCATGGTCAAATAATACATAGTCAATTGACTGTTGACTAGTTAGTTAAGTAATGTGCCAATCTTACCTATGTGTTGGAAGAGAAGGGGTTTGTTTTCTGATCTGTGTAAGAGACCTTTTGGTGAGAGCTGATGTTTGCCTGCTGGAGGTGATGGTGCTCAGAGTGGGTCTACCCATGATTTTTTGATATGGGCTTGTATGAAGCTGTCAGGATTTTGAAAAGTAGAGGGTATTATTTTATATTATTTTATCAATTTTAAAGGGATGGTCAGTGAGAGAGGCCAGTTTCCCTTTCATTTACTTGTGTGTCCCTCATGAGAGGAGTTGAATTTCCGCTGTGTGGACCTCTTAGGTATTTTTTTATTAAGCGGTCTATAAGTTAAATTAAATAAAATATTCCTTTCAGTGAAGAGGATTGGAAGATGTAGAGGAGTGGTGGCTTGCTTGGGTGAGGGAAGTACAGTTGAAACCTCCTTCATAATTATTTTGTGGTAGTTTAAGGTTTTCTGGGTGATAGTTGACTTGTTGAACAGGCCCTCTTTTAAGAGACTGCTGGGGAGGACCTTTTCTATGATAGCTCCAGGATCACTCCCTTTGAAGGCATGTTCCTTTTGTGAAAATGCTTTGAGAAAGCTTCTTTCCAGGAGCTGAATTATTTTTTCCTAGCAGAAGTTACTAGTCTTTTATGGGTTTATTTTTTTGGGGGGGGGGTCCTGATTGAAACTACCGTATCTTGAGATCCCTTCAAAGAAACTGCCTATAGGGAGCCATAACATCACTGCTCATGTTTTTTTTTTTAAATGATGTTTATTGAGAATTTTAAAGTTACAAAGAAAAAAGAAAGAAAAGACAAGAGAAGAGAAGGAGAAAAAGAGAGAAAGAAGTAGATAAACATAACAATTAAACAATACAAATCAAAGTCAAAAATAAATAAATAACAAAACACACAATGCATCTAAATAAAAAAACAAAAATAAACGATTAAAAAACAAGTCTAACATTCCCAAATCCTTAACTTTCCTTAACTTATTTCAATGACCTCCTCACACCTCCCTTTTTTGTATTCTAGTTGTTAATTATCTCAGCAAATCCTTTCCATCTTTCACAATATTCTGTCATTTAAATTACCTTAATCTATTTTAACCTTATCTTACCCTAAAAAACCCTAAAACTTAAAACTTAAATCTTATATATACCAAATTCTTTTAACCATAACATATTCTTACATAATTCTGCTAAAGCCAAATAATTTCATTCCAACATTTTTCTAATACTCATTAATTTTACAATACTTTTCCAAATAAATTTTGAAACTTTCTACCAATCTTCATCCATCGTCTCTTCTTCCTGGTCTCGGGTTTTGTCAGTCCTTTCTCGTCCATCTAATCCATCAACCTGGTGCTCTTATGTCCGAGGCTCTTAAGTCTTTTCCATGTCCCTTCTGCAGGTCTTCTTCTTGTTTATGCCTGCCCTTTACTTTGTCTTTTGTTGATCTTTTTCTTATTTTCTTTCCTTTCTCATTGGGGGGTAGGTCTCGGGAGGACTCCAATCCAAAAGTGTCTCCATCTCTCCTCAGCAGGTCAGCCCATTCCCCACAGTCTCATTCCCCACAGTCAACTCTGTAATCCAGAAAGTATTTAAAAGCATGTTTCAAAGTCTTTCCAAAATTAAGAGCCCTCACAACTCCAGACCCCCCCGGTCCACTCCAGATTCAAACTTCAAGAACAGTGGCTTATACTCCTGCAAGGCCTCGGATCTCTCCATTTGTGTTATTTGAGGTTCAACAGCAACCTCCTCCATTTTCTTCTGCACTTGCGCTTGCCCTATCAAAACAGATTCCTGGGCTGGTTCCTGAATGGTTTCTATATGGGTATTCACCGTTTGTCCAAAGTTTTTGACTGCAACAGTCATCAAATCCATCTTCTCATGCATCTGCTCCAGCAAAGCACTTGCCTTGCAAAAAGCAAGCACCAAGACTTCTTGTAAACACATTTTTCCCCCCAAGGTTAGAGTCTGGTCTCACGATCCTAATCATACAGCTGTGAGGTCCCCAGTTCAGCTCCGGCAACAAATTAACAAGCTGACAATTTCTATTTGTATCCATCTTTTAAAAGCAGGACCAACAAAGAAAAAATACTTTCACTTTTCAAATACTTTGTTTCTTTTGATTGCAAGAAGCAACATTGGAGTCAATTTATTTCTCTCTCTTTTTTTTACTATCTGTCAAAAGACGTTCCGTTCACAGTCGATGAACTTCCCCATAAATTTCTGTCTCTGACACCCCGTTCCCAGGTTTGAGACGGTGGGAAATTTATCTTTACTCTCTCTCCTGCAGGCTTAAACAGTCAAAAATCCCCCTCTTTTCTCCTGCTTCCAAGAGGGGTTTTGGTGGTGATGAATGAAGGAAATTTAGAACTTTATATACGACTTTCCAGACTATAGCTTACAAAGTTTTTGCTTCAATCTATTTACAAAAAAACGGGAGGCGGACTTCCTGTTTAGAACCTTCCCGTTTCAGTGCCAAATTAAAATATTTCTTAATACTTAATCCAATTTTCCGTTCTACTCACGGGTACTTGTTTAGAGTCCAATTGTCCACAGGAAAAAGTCAGCGCTCTCCGGCAACGGCTGTGCGGCTTCACTCCGTAAAAGTAGCGGTTGATTCAAAACACCGCGCCACTCACCCCACGTCGCTTCAGACCCCCGAAAAAGGGTTTCCCTGCGAGTAGGGGAGGCGCTCCTGGTGTCAGCCGAATCCCACGTTCCCAGGCTTCCTCCACCTGTGGTTTTTAAAGGGTCTCCGCCTTTGCCGCGGCGGCAAGACCCGATTTTCACAGAGCGGGTTCCTCTCGGTCAGAGGAACTCCGCCATTGCTGATGGCGCTGTCCCGGAAGTCCCCCATCACTGCTCATGTTGAATGGTCCATCATCCTTTGCGGAGGATGATAAATCTCTTGGCCCTACTGGTGGAACATGGAAATGTCTCCACAGTTATGCTGGACTTTAGAATTACATGGAGCAGAGTAAGGAAAAGGGAAAATTATTGCATCCTTCTCTATATCTAGAAAGGATTATTTGGGTTTGTCTCTTTGTCCCTTGGCTTCCAAAGTGCTCTTACTGCATGAACAAGCTCTAGATATCTATTTTGTATTTATATCCCACTTTATTTCCCTAACCCTACATTGTTTCACAGATATAGTTAAGTGGAGAAACAGTTATTGGCTGATTGAGGTGGGTTGTTGAACAGAGTCGCAGTCCTACTCTGAATCAAACAACTTCTCCACAATGGCTATCAGGGGGAAGCGGGATCATTCTAGACTAGAGGTTAGGCCGTACTACTGGTGGTGCTGTGTGCACCTTAGGCTTCTACAACTGTAGGAATCATCTCTGATTTCTGCAAATCTGGGCTGGGGCTGAAGGCCAAAGTGCAGGAACAGCCCCACACCTGAGCTACATTTATATTTGCAGGTCTGAGGAGCAGGGGATTTTTCTTGACCTTGCATAGAGAAGAGGAGAAAAGTCTTGGTGACCAAGTTGGCTAGCAAGACCTAAGATTTCTAGAGTTTGGGTTGCACATGGGTGTTTTTTCCTCTCCCCACCTTAAGCAATATTCTTCTTTTGTGGTTTCCATAAACTGGAAAGTGGAGGAGATAATTGGAACCCCAGACAGAGGAGAGTCTGTGAACCCAGGGCAGAGCCCTAAGAGCCAAACCATGGTTTAGCCATACTATCAGAACTAGGCCATATGTGAGGCTTAGAAACCCATGTGACCAAGATTACAGCATGAAATGTTGCTTAGATTACATTGCTTCCCTTTACAGTGAGAGTGCTTGCATTTTATTTTAACCAAAGCAAGTTTTCCTGTGGTTGTGAATAAAACTTATGTACAAAAAGCTTAGAAATGGGAGATGATAATGGCAGAACATCTAGTAGCTGAAGGTGGGGCTTTTTAAACAGTGTAGCCCAGGGCTTGGTAGCTGAAACTTAGTGCTGTTGTCTAGGAATCTGAAATAACCACTTCCCTTAAATTCCTTACCAAAAAATAAAAGTAAAAGTCTATATTCTTGATCTTTACTACATGAGTATGACAAAGTTAACCTAAGTCCCAGTTAAGAAAACAGTTTTCTTGATCATGGAACCATAAGCAAAATATTGATACTTCAGGATTCAGCTGCTGTGAAAAGAAACTTTGACTCTACTGTTTATACAGCTCTAAACATCTGTAGTGATCCATAGCTTTTACGTTCAGTAGAGATACCTAATACATTCCTGTATCCTTTTCTCCTAGACAACTAAATGCTGGACGTGTTCGTGAGACGAACTGCTCAAAGATACCCAGAACTGATGCTGTACTTTGTTTAATATTCCGATCATGGTAAGATCACACTTTTCTTCCTTATAGAATTTCATATCTTGACTTGTAGTTCTCTGTTTCCAAAGAACCTTCATTTGCATGCTAATCTGTTAGAAATGCACTGTGTTTTGTCTTCAGTTGCTATGTTTTAGGATAACATTGATATTTGCTGAGAAACATGGTGTGCTCTAATGTGTCGCTCACTAGTGCCTGAGGAGTTAGTACCACAAATGGGGGATGCACATTTGGCTGGTTTTTCTGTTACCAAAGCTTGCATTGTACCCAGTGGTACATGTAGAAGACCCCAGGTTCTGACTGCAGCATCTCCAGATTTAAAATAACCAGGGAAAGACCTTCTCCTTGAGGATCTAGTGTGTCTTTCAGTTGTAATAGATGGCACTGCCTAGTGAACCAGTAGTCTGAATTGATATAAAGCAGCTTTGTATGTTCTTATGTGAGACAGTGGCCTGGTTTGCACAACAATCCGGTAAGCCAAACTATGGTGTACTGGGACTGTGTGAATGTATAGGAGCTCACAGCCCAATTTGCTGTTCCCTGGTCCTTTTTGCTCCTGTGCCATACTGAGTTAAGCAGAAATCTGCTGTTGGCTCCAGCCCATTGATAATGAGGAGAAAACATAACCATGAGCCTGAATTCAGGTGACACACTAAGCCAAACTTTGGCTTAGCTCAACATGCCATGAGACTGGGGAGTAGTAAAGTGCCTGCAAGATCCCCTCTGGGAGTCTGCATGCTTGCATGGTCCCTGCTAAGTCATATTTCAGATTACAGTGTCATGCAAACCAGTCCAGTGTTACATACTTGCTCTTTTAATTTTAATCAGGGATGGGCAACCTGTGGCCCTCCAAAACTTTTGTTGGACCAGCCATGACCATTGGCCGTGCCAGCAGCATCTGAAGAGCAATAGGTTCCCCATCCCAGTTTTAGAATATAGCTTGTTCTTACGGTTACAGGAAAGCCCACTATTAGGCCAGTTTAAGAAGTCAGTTCTCACATAATCTAAAAGAGGATATTTATTATGGTACTGCTTATAATTAACATATCAGCTATAGGTATGAAGGAAGCATATTGTGAACTTTCTGATTTCAAATTCTACTTACGGATTTTCAGACATTCTTACACTGCCCTTTTACTGCTGTTCACCTGTAATTTAAACAGGCACACTAGACCACAATGTATTTATGTGTCTTGTTACCAAGTTGGAGCTATTGTCACGTCTGTTTTGTATGGATTGCAATTTCTTATTCTTGGCCAAGAATTTGAGTGCAACATCTTCCAGCTATAGCAGTGAGAAGACTTCAGCATAATGAGTAATAGTTATCACAGCACACTTTTGATACAGAATTTTAGGAGCTTGACTGTTGATGGACAAATTTTCAGTCTCTGGAGAATGTGATGTCACTGAACTTCAGCTAAATTTTGTACCTCTTCATTATTGTATAATTCAGAGAGTTTATTCAAAATACCTTGTAGGATCTTTCAATAAGCCACTCTAAGCTTGGGGGGGGGATCATTCTCTTTTCTCCCCCACCCCCATATGAAATCGATCCTGCTATTCTCAACATTTAAAGTACTGATAAGCAAGGGATGGATATTGAGTCCTCTTTCCCCCAAATATATTGTAAATGTATTTGAGGGTAGGATGGCATTTAAAGAAGCTTTAGTCCACTTACTGGTTGCAAAGATAACATTCTGCTGTTAGGTTTCCTTACTGAAGAAACTGGAACCCTTTGACAAAGGGAACAGTGCAAATGTTGTCTTAACACAGCTTATTCTGCTAGTTATTTGAAAATGTTTTATAATTGAGTTTTAAGATTTGATGAAGAACTTCAGCAGTAACTCTCAAGACAGTATTTTCTTTAACAGATGTTAGGCTAGTTAATATTTACCTTGAGGGTACATGTCCTTACCATATGGCTTAATCTTTGGTATGGGTCTCATATCCATATCTTCTTAGGAAAGTCAAATATCCTTGCATAAGGAACTCCTTGGTTATTTTGAGGTTTGGGGCCTTTGAACCTTTATCACACAAATTTATTTGCTTAAATATCCATGTTAAAGTGCCTTAAAGCAAATTATCCATCTGGACTAAAAGAATTATCTTAGTCTGGTCATTGAATGTAACATCTGAATATGGAAGTAGATGAGAATTCAGACTGACAGTCCTACAATGTGCACAATTTGTTTGGCTCTTTCGTTTCCCCCATCTTTCATGGATGCTCTAAACTGTGTACAAGCAGAACAATGATACAAGGCACAACTGGTGTGTAGTATCACACACACCTCAGGCTAAAAGTTGGCTCCCTTCCAGTTGGAGGGTTTTTGGGTGTTGGATATGCTGGTTCATCGCACCCAGATCCCACAAATCACAGAAGGAACTGCAAATCCCAGTCAGTTCAAATGGCAGACTGGGAAATTGGTTGGGTTGGCAGAGGTAGTAAAGTCCAAACCACACAGTCCCCCAGGATGCTTGCAGAAGCCAGCTTGAAAATTTGTATCCTTTCTTTATCTTTAGCACTAAATCAGTAGCAGTTGCGGGAAGCTGTTGAACACAACCATAGCATCTGTACATTACAGTAAGATAAGTGACTGGCTATCCAAGCAGCAGAAACAACTGTGAAAACAGTGGGGTGGGAGACTGTTCACCATCAACTTGAAACTTCGAAGAAACTGCTGATGTTTAAAGCTAGGGCAAGAGACTACATCTGTTAATTAGATAATTTACCTCTTTTGATATTGCAATTGTTTTAAATACGGTAGTCACAGGGATTAGTTGAATGTCCAAGGACTTCCTTTTATAGGTGGTGTTGAATCCACCCATCTATTCTCAGCCTATTGGACAGTAAGTGTTAGCTAGTGCCTCAAGTATGTCAAAGAATCAAATTTTTATCTATCTCTAGGGTAGGCAGTTTGAAGCAGACCATGGCTGAAACTGTCAAAGTTATCCACCTGTTCAGACAACTGATCTTATTTATATTGGTGTTCTAACCACTAGATTTGAAAACCTGTTTGCATTTATCCTTCAACAGGCAAAAACATCTTCGCTTGAATTATTTTTTTAAGCTCAAGGTACTCTTTAATTATTTTTAGTGATTTTTAAATGTGAATGATGGAATTGTCTGTGCATATTGTTTACCGTTCAATTTTTGAAGTTACATTGCATCAACATACAGACAATTGTGCTTCACAAATCAATTCTATAAATTTTAAATCATAAAGAAAATATGTGCAAAGTATCGGAGCAATGTTGAGATCGTTGTCATGTGTTAACAAAAGCCTTAAGTTATGGTAAATGGCACGAGATAGATATTTCTAAAATAAATGAATGAATGTTCTCAATGATTTTAATCCTGGCCATGGTCTTCATTTATCTCTGCTCTAACTCTCGGGCATTGGATCAGATGCTAGCTACAGCAGTGCAAGCCAGTAGTCTTGATTCTTGTCCCTGTAATGGCCATTGCTTGCATCACATCTGATGTTCTTTCCAGTTTCCCAGTTAAAGGGGAGCATTGAGGTTAATGCACAGAAATTGAAAAGGGGTGGTGGGATGAATCCAGAGAAAAGCCTGTGGAACAGGTTTAGAGGAAACAGGCTTTCCTACCCTGCTGAATGCAATAGGCTGTGGGATGAGGAGGCTGAGGAGGAAGGCATGCCCCATAATAAGAGTGAAGGTATCTTTCTACTTTGGAGAAGGTGCCTCCTCTTGATTTTCAGGGATTTTCCTTCCTCCTCAGGACCCACACCCACAATTCCTGAACCTTGGGAGAGACTGGTTTTTGGTGGGGGAACTGCAATGAAATGAAATCAAAGCATTCCTGATATGCACATTTCTTAAATTTCTCTCAACATTGGGGATTTAGGCTGCAATCCTAGTCCTACTTAACTGGGAATAAACCCCACTGGATTCAGTCAGACTTACTTTTGTGTAGACTTGGTTTCATTGTGCCATTAGGATCTTAAGGTTACAGCTTTCTCTTCTCTACACCCTCCGGCCAACCAGGCACAACTGGAACACACAGTTGCACGGTTAAGAAACACACAGATCCCTACATTACTTGCATTTTTCACCAAGCTAACATCTCTACTGCATACAAGCTATGATCACATGGTGTGAAAAATTCTGTAACTTGAAAACTTGCATATTCTTTTTTAAAAAATGGAACACCTTTTCCTGGCATGTATTATTATCTATCTTGTGGGAGCAGGCAAAATTACAGCTTTAGATTTAAAGTACCTGTTGTGTACACCTTCTGCATTGAAACTTAGTGAGCTGCCAAGATGGAGAGAAACCTGTTGCATTCTTCCCTGTGTGCTTCCACCTTTACATGCTGAAGTGAGATTAAAACACTCCTCTGCTATCATTTTTCTTTTATAGGTCTTCTAAAAGCGCTTTATTCTTGAAAAGTCAGTATTAGTATTAGATAGACATGGCATGGAAGGTCTCCATTGGAGATGTGTATTAATGTCCTCTGAAGGAGACTTTGTTGCAGAAGCAATTAAACTGCCACATACTTGGAAAACACAGATCATATAGACTACACTTCCAAGTCTACGTACCTCATTGGTATATTTTGTGGATGCTAAAGAACTGTATGGGAACTGTGTAACATGGACTTTGAGCATTTGCAGACCAGGGTGTGTGTGTGTGTCTGTCATAATGTATTTTTTATTGAACTATTGACAGAAATCTCTGCTTATAGATCTTTATCATAGGACATTGTGTGTCAGAGATACAACCCTTGGCCATTCACCAATCATTATTCTTAACAGTTGCTTCTGCCCAACTCAAACTCTATTAATCGTCTGAGAAAAGAGGTACACTGAGTGGGAGAGAATATTTCTTCTCTTTGTGTGCTGTGGAACCTTTATTCTTTGTCTGCCATAAAGGAAACTGCAACTTCCAAAGTTTGCATGATGTAATTTTAACCTGTCGCGAACCAGGGATTTTGATTCATAAGAGAGAGTGGCTTAATATAGCTGTATCTTCTCTTAAGATTTTGAATGAAAATAGCACATCCAGTGGCCAATATATTTTTCACCTGACGGCTGCATTGTTGGTTAGCCACCCATCTTGAGGGCCACATGCCAGCCGTGGTAATGCCCTGTGCATACTTAATGTGCATGTGTGCACGCTCACCCAACATACAGGCACCGAGCACACTCTCAGACATGCTAGCGTGCACACAGCCCTTTTCCCTATTTCCAAGGCAGAGCTCCACAGCACTGAGAGTGGGAGATAAAGTGCTTCAGAGATCAGTCTCTTAAATAGCAGGCAGAGTCCTTTATCTGACCACTTCTGCTCTCATAATAATATAATAATTTATTATTCATACCCTGCCCATCTGGCTGGGTTTCCCTAGCCACTCATTACTCCAGTGCTAAGGTCAAAGGAGTTGGTGGGCAACTTCTGCAGTTTGCTGTGCTGGATCTGGACTACAGTTTAGTCACTTCTTTTATTCCTTGTATACTTGGCAGGATGCTTTTACATGTGTGTCTACACATTTACCCTGACTCCAATTCTCCACCCAAACACTCCTGTACAGAGCAGGGTGGGAGAGGTAAGTACACATCTTGTTTAGGTTCAGGGCTAGATGAGCCTAATCCCAATCTAGCAATTGCTAGTTTGCTGAGGTTCAGGTCTAGTTGAACAGGCAGTTTAACCAATTTGTGCTTTTCAGCTTACTACTCTATCCACAACTGCTCAAAGGTCTCCAATTTGTATTTTCTAAATCAGAATCTTCTAACTACTACTACCACTACTGCTACTAATGGTCTTTTCTAGGAGCCCTCAGTAGATATTGCACTTTGCCATGTAGATCTTGCTCACTTGAATTGTGTGTGATAGTTTATTGCTGGGATTGAATATACTGTTGGGTTGCATTCTGCTTTGATTCCAGTAAGGTTTCCAGCTTCAGCATGAGCTGCTCTACCATCTGTTGGGGTATTGCTGCTGAAATAGAAGTGGGTTGTCATATTTGTGCAGATGCACTGCATTCCTATTTGGAATGTGGAAGTGCCTCTTCTAAGGTGTGAACTCTGTGCATTTCCATCTTAGATTCATCAGTGTGCCATCTCTAGACTCCTCCTCTGTCTAGGATCTGTTTTGATAAAGTTTTCTTTTGTAGACAGACACACTCACTCCAGTGTGCACACAGTCACCGCACAAAAGAGAACAAGACAAAGGGAAAAAAATGAGAGAGGAAGGACAAAAAGGAAGATAGGCAGCAGAGCCATCAGTTTTCATGACTCAAGGAAGCTAGCAATACTTTGTGAAAGAATTTGGGTTTTTGCATCAGTTGAGCTCTATTTTTCTTCGCTTCTTGGTTTCAAAGGGTATTCCAGGTATTGTTCAGTAGCTTGGCTATGAGTTGCCTTCTAGCACTGTAGAATCATTTCCATAGCATATCTTCTAGATAACAGCAACTCTCTATCTTACAGTAGGTGAAGAAGACAGTGATGGAATTGGAACATAATGCAAAAATGCTGAAAATACATGCAATATTTAAAAATAATATTGACTGAACCTTTCTCTAGAATTGTACCCCAGCTTGGAAATGCCACAGCAGGAGGTCTAGGTCATAATCAAGTTTTAGATCTGTTCAGAAATTACATATCAGTCACTGAAACTTGGCTGGTGCAGTAGGCTGTAATATTTTTGCTTAATCAGCTACAGATCCAGGGATGACACATTTATGATCACCCTTTCAATAGCAGCAGCATGAAGGATCTATCCTGTTTTTTTCTGTGTGTTTTGTACCTCAGACCTGGCTCAGAGTATCTAGTTTGTATTTCAATGGATCTATGAAAAGAACATAACAATTCAGAGTTGAATGTTGTTCCCATTAACTGTTGGGCAGAATAGATATTAAATGGCTAAAAGGATCGTAACTGCTGGAACAAGTATTCTGTTTAAGGCAGTAGACTTCTGTGCCCCTCAAGCATTCTTTACTTACCACTACATCTTTAATTTTGGGATGAGGATTGTGTCCCTCTTTCCATCCATCTCTCCATCATTTGGATGAGACAGTTCTTCTGTTTCAGTGCAACTTGTTGAGCAATTGCCTCCTTAGCAGGTCTTTTGTAATACACCTTGTCTACCAATCCTTAAACATCAGGGCAGATAAGCTGTCAAGTACTGTATGCTTCCAGATGCGGTGGGAGGAACACAATGTCATGCTGTTAACAATGTTTTGTCAGCGCAAGCTTTCTGCTTGCATGATGGAACAATCTCCCCTTTCTTCCCCTTGTGCGCTGTTGTGGGGGGGGGTCTCCCGACACACACACCTCAAGCCATTGAGGGGTGGGGGGGCCCCCCTGTTGCGCTACAGGAGACTTTGTTCAGGCTTCCAGTAGTGGAACTGGTTAGTTTAATTTGGCCCTGTATTTCCAAAACTGGGTGGGTGTATCTTCTTTTGCTTTGGGCAAAACTCATTTTGCTGTGGATTTTGCTTGATGAAGCTTTGTCTTGTTTCAGGTGATCTTTTTGTCTGCAAAGGGCTTCTGAACCCATTTTCAGGATGATCAGTACAATGTCGTGACACTGGAGTTCTGGTAAGCTGCCTTTAGAAGCAAAGGGAACAGGCCAGAAGGCTTGCAGAAATACAGGGTTCCCTACATTATATTGAAGAATGAGCTACTGAAATTGGTTTTAATAATGGTCTGCTTGGCCGTAACATTTGACGGAATAATATTGTTGGCATCCGTCTGTCTCGAGAGACAATGGAGTGTGCCTCCAGGGATGAAGTCAAATGGCTGCGTATAATAAGTATATTACAAAAAGAACGAATGGACCATTGATGTCCTGATTGCAGTGAACTCTGCACTTTGGGTTGAAAGTAACTTTTGTGGATTGTTTCTTCTGAGACAGTGGCATTAACAGAAACGAGGCTGGCAAAGCTTGCTTTTCTGTAAGACATATGCCCTGTCCAACATGTCCCAAAAGATGACTTGCATTTTAGCTTCATTAACCTAGAAAATAATAATAAAATTTGCCTTTTGGGATTGATGAGTGAAATTAGTGCCCATTATATTGGGATGATTTGTAGTAGACAGGAGTGTTTGAATTCATCTCCTGCTTCATATTCTGTGTAGTCTGCTATGGTCTTTTGTCCTCAGTGAAAGCATGCCTACCATCTTGTGTTTGAGTGTTTTACGGGTGAAGGGGTAGAAATACAGCCTGGCTTACAGCAGATTCAGATGTGGCACATCCAAAATGTTTAAATAAGCATGCCAGCCCACTTCTACTAAAAATGCTTCTAGAAGTCTCAGTTTCTCAAAACCACCAAGTCTAATTTGTGGGCATTAGCATATGCTCTCAGGCAGAATGAGTCCTGTGCTTGTGAGAACAAGATCTCACAATAACTCTGTATATGGCTTATGTAAAATACAGTCCGGTAATGCAGATTGGATTGTATTTCTTGTAGGTTCTTAAGCATCAACATTAGTAATACCTGTCCTGTGACCTTATCTGAAATTTAATTGGCACATTCCTCTCCTTGCAATGAGCAAAAATAATAAATCTTTTTTATTCTCTGTTGCCTTACATACTTCGAGTATGGGGATCCTTTGCCAAATTTGTAGGACTTCCTTCCTTCAGACTTGGAAGCATTTGAGGAAGGAATGGTAAAGGAGGAAAAGAACTTAAATGTCCTGATGCTATCTTCTGATATTAAGATATGTTGATGCTATGTCATAGAGTGACAAAATTCAGTATTATGACATTGTCATATGAAAAAGCTTGCAGTATGTTTCAGCAGCACAAAAGGGTTTTTTTGCTTTCACAATATACTGCTGTGTTTCAAAGAAATCTGACCAGTAAATACTACTTTCTTATACTTTTACTTTCTTCATAGCTTATAAACTTATGAATTATGAAAAAATACTTAATTTGAATATTATCATCCAGTGTTAGAGGTGGGTAATCTAGTTTTCATTCAGATACAAAAATTGTTCTGATATAAAAACTGTGATAATAAATTGAATCTGATATAAAATTGTTATAAAATAAGCCCTGTGTTAAAATCTGCTCAAACACCATAATTTTCAATGTTTCTAACTTTTCATTTAAATGTAGATTGAGACATAGTATTTATGGACAGTAGTCTAGAAAATTGGGCCTAGCAACTTTGACATAGGATACTTAGCACTTGGATGCAGTAATTTTGATGGTGGATATTGATTATTCAGAAGTCATGAAAAAGATCCCTCCTCCCATTACCATCTTGTGTTTCACTAGGGTAATCGTTACCTGTTTGTAAGATGTGCTAATAATTGTGTGATCTTCTAAAAATGTTGCTATATCTTTTTGCAGTGATGTGGCCTGCGTAGTACTTTTAGAAAGCTTGAACTGATTCATACGAGCAACTTGCTTCTCTACACATAAATGTTTTTGTACCTGATCTTGGATTGGAGTGCAGAGAAAATTCCTCCCTCTCATCTGTTAGATCTAGCACACCTGGTTGTTGCTTACGTAGCTAATACCGGAAAAGCATTTATTTTATAATCGGAATGTACATTCAGCTTCCATCTGGTTGAGCTTTCTCATCTTGCCCTTCCAGTTAAAAAGGTGGAGAAAAAAGGCCATATACTGATCTCATTTAGTTCTAGATTCCTCCCCTTTTTAATAGTCTTTTTTTGTTCTTTGACTGGGTTTGGTTCAGTTTGCCCTGGAGATGCGAGACTTCCTCACAACAGCAGGAGTCACACATTTGGAGAATGCTGGAGCTGCGAGAGGGAAAGGCCCAGTGCAACAACAGAGAGAAGCAAAAAGGAAAAAGACAAGCAGACCGACAGCACTGAGGAAAGCAAGGGACAGAAAGTGCTTCAGAACTGCCAGCAGCAACAGAGGAACTTGACAAGAAGCCCCCCCCAGTGCGTGTGGCTGTGTGCTTAGGATTTCTGTCAATGCATTCCAGTAACCCCAAAGTGAGAAATTCCCCATCAGGAAATGCCCAGAGGTAAATAGCTTACATTTATATATATATTCTTCCCCTCTCTCTGTGTCTCTCTGGTGGCATTATGACATGAATAGCTATTTGCCTTCTGTACTTTAATTGGAACCCCCTGTCATGTGAGTTTCATCTGCTGAGTGCTATTCAAGTTTATTCTGATATGGAGAATTCTCTTCATGTGCTGGTTCTCTCTGCCTTTATATGATATTTCATAAGAAATTACAAGTTTTTGCAATCTCTTTTGAGGTTCTTGATTTTGTAGTCACTTGTGTTTTCTTGTTGTTTTTTGCCCCCATTGAGTATCTCTGGCGCAATCCTCTAATTTGACAAAACAGCCTTTGAGAGGGTGACAGTTTTGACCATTCCACTTGACAGCACATAGTGCTTCCACTTCCATTTTACGGGGAAGGTAAATATTGGCACATAGAGGAAGTGTTCCCATGTCACTTCTGTCTTGGTATAGATGGAACAAAAACATTCGCGCCCCCCCCCCCCAAAAAAAGAAGCAGAAGTGCAAAGAAACATCCTTAGAACACAAATTTGAATGGAAATTGTAGCTATTTTGCCTGAGGTAACCAGATTTCATTATTATTATTATTATTATTATTATTATTATTAGTTTATCAGAGCATTAATACCCCAAACTTCACGCCACTTAGGACAACTTACAATATAAAAAAACCAGTTTTATGAAAATGGTAGAAAACAATTGCAAAAGAGGCAGAGGTAGCAGTTTAAAAAAATCAGAAAAAGCATTATCTGCCTCATATTATAAAAGCCTTCTGGGGAAAAAACAGTTATTCAGTAACTGGGGGGGAAAGCTGTGTAGGAAGTGACCAACCATGGGCCAAATGAATATGGTAATCTGGTTGTTGACATGGAGCAAGTCCTCTCTCATATCTCATCCAGCCATATTTCTACCTTTGATGGGACACAGAGAAGGGTTTCTCCTTATGATCTTAGGAATGGTATGAGTGGAGGGGATCCTTGAAGTATTCTGGACCTAATCCGTTTCAAAAGAATTGTGCCCAGAAGCACATTTGTACCCTGTGTGTATTATTGGATTGTGGAAGGGGTGGGTAGGTTCCTTCTCATCTTTATTGCTGTTTTTTTTTATTACATTGTATCTGAGAGCTGATTCATATCTTCTGCCACTCATGTGCATCTTACAGCTCTTTCAAGTAATCTACGACTCAAAGAAATTGAGTGATCTTACAGACCAGCTTCCATTATCAGGGAATTCTATCCCTGATCTGGTGTGTTCCTCTTCATGCAAGTTGGCTACATATACATTGTGGCTGATGACTATAATTATGGATCAGTTCTGAGATTCAGCTCTTTTTATTCAGTATATTTTCCCCACATCTACTGTGCTGATGAAATCTAGTTCAGTGCTATTTTACAATATTCTTTTGCACTTGTTTTCAGAAAGATGCAATTTTTGCCTCTAACAGTTGAAAGTAACTGAAGCGAGCATTTTTAAAACTTACATTCCGCTGGCAGGTAATGGATAGAAATTCAGAGTTGTGTATAAATTCAGTTGAACTTTCATGGAAAAACACCCCCCCCCCCGACAGTTGAGCTGTGTTGTTTGAATCCAGATGGGTGGCATTGTGAACTTTATGGTGCCCTGCTTATTTGCTTTGTGCTGGTCTTAGTGTGAGGCATGTCTTTGTACATAGAAACCATTGTCTTTATTGACAGAAGTGACAGAGGTACATCCCCATGTGACTGACTGGTTCCTAGGATCTGGGTAGTTGCTGCCTTTCTCTGTTTGCTTTAAGTAGTAATACCTCAAGCTGGATAATAAGGCATTTTTTTAGATAGCTGCTGGACAATATGCATGTGGATGAATTTAACTTACCGGTGCTGGCCACACTCTGTAAAATAAGCTGAGCTGGTGGCTACTGCTGCGTAAATTGGCATTCTTATACCTTTTATTACACATTACTCTTCTTCCCCACCTTTCTTTTCCAGTAGTCCCAAATCAAAGCAGGAGGTGATGGTCCGTCCCCCTACAGTGATGTCCCCATCTGGCAACCCCCAGCTGGACTCTAAATTCTCCAACCAGGGTAAACAGGGGGGCTCAACTGGCCAATCCCAGCCCTCTCCCTGCGACCCCAAGAGTGGGGGCCACACACCAAAAGTGCTCCCAGGACAAGGAGGAAGCATGGGGTTGAAGAATGGGGCTGGCAATGGTTCAAAAGGGAAAGGAAAGAGAGAGAGGAGCATTTCAGCGGACTCATTTGAACAAAGAGATGCTGGGACTCCCAGTGATGAATCTGAAATCAAAGGTATGTCTACATGTGAAGGGGCAGAAATATGAGTGGGTGCCAGCTTTTACTGAGAGCCTCTGTGATTTTTTTTAACTTGCTCTGAACCCTAGAAATTGTATCAGCCAAAATGAGTCAGTTCTGTATATCGGCATGAAGGAAGATTTTTGACAATTGGATTGGAAGACTTGGAAAAAGCAGCTTCCTGCCAAAGCACATGTTCTGAAACTTGTCACAGTGACCCCCTTTTAAACTAATAGTTCCTCAAGTGTAAAAAGAGGCAAAAAATTTGTCTTTTCAAGAGTGTTTTGTTTGATATGCTTGATAAGAAGGCAGGTCCCACAAACCCCACAGCAAGCTGTGGTCAGTTTTGATGTGTGCCTAGCGGTGGGCCTTTCTTCCGCTGCAGGCAAAGGTCTCATTTTCTCAGGAAGAGGGTGTCTTTTCCATAGGTTTAAATGCAAACACCACACTATAAAAAGGCCCAAGTGCCATTCGTAATTGACATGATCTGAGTGTATTCTGTGCTTGGGTATCTCTAGTGAATTATGTAATGTCACATAAGGAGCAGCCATCAAAATCTGAGCCTGTATTTCTGTAAGTGTTAAAAGAATGGGTTTTGCTTTGCTTCTCAAAAATGACACAATCTGTTGTTTGTGTGCAGGATATTTAAGTGGGTATTTTTGTTTTTTCATTGTGTTGACATGTTAATTTCATAGATATGTTAATCCACTGAGACCCTCTTGGAATAGAGAGGGTTAAAAATCTCATTAGAGGAACATTAGTCCCCTTGGAGAAGGCCTATAAGGAAAGGAATAGCTTGTGAAACAAAAGTTGGAGTAGGACAGATGATAAATAGTCTGTGTTTCTTAGGTTGGGAAGAACTAAGTTAATGCTGTGCCCACTTCAGGATACGATGGGAGCAGTAAGAGGAGCTTAGCCCCCAGAGAGGAATTTTTGCTCTATAGTAGTGCTTGTTCCTGTATATCACAGCTCAGTAAGGCTGGTCTCTGAGCAGTCAGATATTTTCACAGCTTATAATTGATGACCAGCATTTCCACCCACTTGAAATATAGCTTTGATTGGGGTAGGGAAAGTGTTTCTGTTGTTACTGTATGGTGTCTTAGGCTACAGGAATGCAGCTCTAATCTGTCAATCTCAGGAGTCCTGCTTGGAATATCATAGGGACTGTTCATGTTAGTCTTACGGGTGTTGTTGCACTTGTGGAATTGCTGTTTATGTAAATCACATGTGCTTGGGACTGTCTTCAGTGGCTAACATAATTTGTGTGATGGTGGCCAGTGTTCTCCACATAAGCCCAAATGTGTCAAGCTCTGCTTGAATTCTACTCAGTCCTGAGGCTGCTGGGCTCAAGAGATTCACAGGGGCCACTAGCTGAATTCAAGCGACCTGAAGCATGCAATTATATCTGGCTACCCCATTCCCCCACCCCATTTCCCCATCTCTTTTATTTTACTTTTTGCTTTCCCTTCTGTTATTTGATTGCAAGCCTGCAGGTGAGATTATGTTGTTTATTTAATTTTTGCGCAGCACCTTCGAGTTTGAGGGGCTTTGATCATTACGGGTTCAGTGCTGAGGATTAGGGCATTTTTTGTCCCATCGGCACTTTTTTCAACAAGTGACTTGTTTCTCATTTTACTTGGCTTATGATGTTTTGCAAAGAAAATAAAATAAGAATGTTTTGTATTGCCATATGTGGATCTTGAAACTTTATTACTTGATTACTGTGTGGTGTGGACTTCTTAAAGTTTCGGAAACCATTTGACTCTCACTTAGCCTCTGAACCAACCCCCATGTCTCATGTGTTGGGTAAGAACAATTTAAATGTGAAAATATTACATTAAATATGGTGAGAAAATCTATACAGCCAAAATGCTCTGGCCTATGCATATGTTGCTTACACATCAGCTTTGTACTGATTTTGAATAGACTCTAGGATTTGACTCTAGTGTATTTCTTGGGAAAGGCAATGAAGTGGTGTAAAGCTTCTAAGAACAATCTCCTGTGTGCTGTTGTCATTGCTGGTGTGTCAAGGTGGGAGCAATTGTCCTAGGTTAGCCTTACCTTGGTAGAATTTATAGTATGTCTTAAACTAAACAACTATGGGCAGGCCATCTCAGTTTGAGGCAAACTGGGGGAAAGTGTTTTATCTAGCTGAACAATGTGGAAGGTTCAGTAGCTTTGCCGGTGGAGGATTCCACACACACCAGTGGAAACCAGTCAGATTTTTTTACAACAGCTGTGGCTGATCCGTGCTGTGCCCCCGAGATCCCAATGACTTTTGGCATCAATGGTGAAGGGGGGGGGGGGAGGAACCATGCACAATATTTTGGTGGGTGAAGCAGGGTACCCTGATGAGGATGGAGAATCACTCCTTTCCTGTTGGGGGGGGTCTTCATGGATCAGCTGAGGAGGGGTGAAACCACGTCCTTTGTGTGGGCACACATATACAGAAGTTTTCATTAAAAGTGTATAGGTTTGCTATACCCACTGCTGGCATGCAGACCCTGGAGGATTGGCCAAAGATGAATGTGGCCCTCAGGCCAAAATACTCTTAAGAGTTTTCCTTGTGGATGTGTGGAAATTGACAAATCTATAAGAGTATACTATGAATGACTGGATTTTAAATCACACAAAGTGTAATAGTAGAAGTGGTGGTGCAAATGGGAGAAAAAGCCTGAAGTTGTAAATGCCAGCTATCAATATTAGGATAGGCATTCATAAGAAATAATTGTCTTATATAAATGCCAGAACAAATGAATCTTATGGTGGGTGATTGTACTGTATCTAAAATGAAAGTGCTACTAAGTGAGCTACTGAAAGATGGGAATGGAATTTTGATATCTTTTTTGAGATTGAGACCTCTCCACTACTTCCGTTTCAGATCTTGGCTCTGCTGACCATGCAAAATCGCAAGAGTCCCAGCATACTGCACACTCCTTGGCTCCTTCAAATGCCTCAGCCCCAAGATCTTCCACGCCTTCTCATGGTCAGGCGGCCCCTTCAGAGCCAGGTAGTATGCAGAAGACTCCATCCAAAGTGGTCTATGTCTTTTCAACAGAGATGGCTAATAAGTAAGTGACACTTTAGTTTACATTGAATGCAGTAGCCACAGCCTCTGGTTTAGTTCTGTTTGCTGCTTATACACGATGACAAGTTATATCCATTCATGGCTTCCACTTGCAACCATATCTGCTTAAATAGGTACCTGTACCTCCATCACATCCCACGAGGAAGGGCATGAATGTATGTTCTACATTGAAAGAGAAACCTTCTAGGAAAATGAAAAACTGTGTTTTGCCTTGTGGACAATTTGGCACTTAATTGTGCATTTGTAAAGCACCCTGATAGAGGGTGGTATAGAAACCAATTAAATCATAAAATAACATCTTCGTTAGATGTTGTCCTCTTTAGTAGAGGTATATTACGTTTACAGAAAGAGGGCCCACTGAATGGCATCCGACGGACTTTGGAATGCCATTTTTAATGGGGTGTGCCTGGCACCAGCAAGCTTTTTGCACCAGGGGAAGACCTTCCCATTTGCCAAGGTTTTATAGATTTTAGATTATTTTCTTTTTAATTGTACTTTGTGCGAATTTCACTTAGCTTTGTACACTGTCCTGGAATCTTTCTATGAAGAGCGATTAAGAAAAAAGACGGCTAGTATGTTATCAATTACAGAAAGGGCTGCAGACTTTTGTTGACAGGGACTGACATGCCCTGTGATGTTTCAGCTGCTTGTGTTTGTCTTCAGGGCTGCAGAAGCTGTGCTGAAAGGACAAGTGGAAACCATTGTATCTTTTCACATTCAGAACATCTCTAACAAGGTGGAACGAAACACTGCACCTTTGGTAAGTAACTTAACAGATGGAGAAGACAGTGTGGGCAGGAGGGGTGAGGCTGCCAGTGGCTTGACTGAATGGTTAAAGCATGATTGGCGAAAGGTGAACTCAGAGCTTGGCCTTCCTCATTGCCCTAGAACTAGGCTTCATTTGAGCCATGTGAAATTACTTACTTGTCTTCCTTTTTCTTCAGAACACTCAGATTCCACCACTTCGAAATGATACAAAGCCCCAAGCTCCACCGCAGCTGCCTGCTTCTCAAGAGCAGACTCCTCCCCAGAATGCCAAAATGCAGCAGACTCCACCCATTCCAGTGCCGGCACCAGCACCCAAACCTACTGGCCCTCCATGTCCTATTGAGCAGGACAATCCTGGATTAGAAAGTAAAGTGATGTCAGCAGGAAGTCCTGCGAACTCCACTCCTCTACAAACTGAAGGATTTGGGCAAACTTCAACCCCCAGTAACAGAGCCGTTAGTCCAGTTTCCCAAGGAAGTAACAGTTCCACTGCGGACCCTAAAGGTCCCAACCAGCAGGTATCTGGTGGGGACCCACCAAATATGGGTGAAAATCCAGATGGACTGTCCCAGGAGCAGCTGGAGCATAGAGAACGTTCCCTGCAGACTCTGCGAGATATTCAGCGTATGCTTTTCCCAGATGAGAAGGAGTTCACTGGAGGCCAAGCTGGGCCTCCCCCGCCCAATTCTGGAGTGCTGGATGGTCCCCAAAAGAAGCCTGAAGGGCCAATACAGGCCTTGATGGCTCAGTCCCAAAGTTTAGGTAAAGGGCCAGGACCCCGGACAGAAGGAGGGGCTCCCTTTGGCCCTCCAGGGCACCGAGACATGCCCTTCTCACCAGATGAAGTTGGGCCACCATCCTTAAACTCTCAGTCTGGTCCTATAGGACCAGAGCACCTGGATCACATGACCCCCGAGCAGGTGGCCTGGCTGAAGTTGCAACAGGAGTTCTACGAAGAAAAGAGGAGGAAGCAGGAGCAGGTTGTACAGCAGTGTTCTTTACAAGACATGATGGTTCACCAGCATGGGCCTCGAGGATTGGTCAGAGGCCCCCCACCTCCATACCAGATGACCCCAGGTGAGGGCTGGGGTCCTGGGGGCCCAGAGCCCTTTCCTGAAAGTATGACTATGTCCCATTCACTGCCCCCAAGGGGCATGGCCCCCCATCCCAATGTGCCTGGTGGTCAGATGCGGCTGCCTGGGTTTGCTGGAATGATAAACCCTGACATAGAGGGTCCCAATGTCCCAAACGCCACTTCTAGACCTGGGCTATCAGGTGTCCCTTGGCCGGAAGATGTGCCAAAAATGCCAGATGGCCGAAACTTCCCTCCTGGGCAAGGTGTGTTCAGTGGTCCTGGGCGAGGGGAGAGGTTCCCCAATCCTCAGGGCCTGCCTGAGGAGATCTTTCAACAGCAGCTGGCAGAAAAGCAGCTAGGACTTCCCCCTGGCATGAGCATTGAAGGCATCAGGCCTGGCATGGAAATGAACCGGATGATTCCCTCTCAAAGACACATGGAGCCCGGCAATAACCCCATCTTCCCACGTATGCCGGTTGAAGGGTCCATGAGCCCCTCCAGGGGAGACTTCCCCAAAGGGATGCCACCTCAGATGGCAGCTGGTAGGGACTTGGAATTTGGGATGGGCCCTGGTAGCATGAAGGGGGATGTGAATCTGAATGTCAACATGAGTTCCAATCCACCAATGATACCTCAGAAGATGAGGGAAGCTGGAGTGGGCCCGGAGGAAATGATGAAAATGCGCCCAGGTGTCTCGGAGATACTCCCCTCGCAGCAGAAAATGGTGCCCATGCCATTTGGTGAGCATCCCCAGCAGGACTATGGAATGGGCCCGAGACCTTTCCATCCTATGTCTCAGGGCCCAGGTGTTGGTCTCCGGAATCACAGAGAACAAATGGGGCCCGACCAAAGGACTAACAACCGGCTTAGCCACATGCCACCACTACCTCTGAATCCCTCCAGCAACCCAAACAGCCTCAACACAGCTCCTCCTGTTCAACGCAACCTCGGACGCAAGCCCTTGGATGTTTCCGTTGGTGCCAGCCAGGTTCATTCTCCAGGCATAAATCCACTGAAGTCCCCCACCATGCGCCAGGTCCAGTCTCCCATGCTGGGTTCGCCCTCCGGGAACCTCAAGTCCCCCCAGACTCCATCCCAGCTGGCAGGGATACTCGCAGGGCCGACTGCAGCAGCTGCTGCTTCAATCAAATCTCCTCCTGTTATGGGCTCTGCTGCCGCTTCTCCTGTCCATCTCAAGTCTCCGTCCCTCCCAGCACCTTCTCCTGGATGGACTTCATCTCCAAAGCCCCCACTGCAGAGTCCTGGAATACCCCCCAACCACAAAGCATCTCTTGCCATGTCTTCACCAGCCATGATGGGAAATGTTGAATCAGGTCAGTTGTGCTCACTTTCTCTACCATCCTTTTTCTTACCTTCAGTAAGGTGCTACCTTTCCTTTAAACAAACTCTGCTCTGATTCCTTTTAATGACAACCTGATGCACCAGACTTGGCAGGCTAGCTTGTTACCTTTCCGCTCCTAAACTGCTTTGTGTTGGGCACAAGAGCAGGGCCTGTAAAGATATTGTCATAGTATTAGTTGATGTTTGGACATAATTGAACTGCGAAGAGATGGATGCACAAACTGATTCCTCTCACTAGCTTAGAAACATAGTCTTTTGTATACAGGCTAGGTTGAAACAGGGTAGACTTGGAGTGATTACTAGTGTATTGTGTGTTGGGTAAATTGAGTTCTATTTGCAGAACACTCTGCCAGAGGCAGTTCCTTCTGTAGCTACTAGGGAGTTGAGGGACCTTCTGGAACACCATGGGAAGTGTTGTTGGAGGCCTGGGGAGGGGGTAACTTCAAAAGTTGCTCTCCTTTCCTCCAGCAGGAACCTCTGTTGGATCTGAGATGTTTCTCAGAAGGGCATGCATGTCTGGATCCAACCTCGTATGCCAAAGTTTGCCTTGTTCTGAAGCAAATTTGTTGCAGATTTGAGAGTTCCTCCCATGGAAACTTAGAACCAGCTCTTTTGCATATCACAAGCTGGTTCCTGTAGTATTTTTGTACTGTAAGGATTACTGTATATAAATTCCTGAAACAATGACATTTTGTGAAGGGTTGTCCTCACTGAACAATTCAGATGGTAAACAGCATTTGGTAAACTTTGTGTCTTGCTTGGCTTCACAGATCCCTCCTGGGAGGAAGTTGGTTTAACATTAGATCACAGATTTGGCTGTGAATGGTTTTTAGGCAGATGCCAGCTGATTTCTGCAATGGTTTTTGCCTTTACACAAAATATAAGCCCCTCTCTTGGTTCACATGGTCCTGTTTGCCCTACAGAATTGCAAGTCTCATTGAATCTTTCAGATTTATAGCTTAAAGTCCACTGGCTGTTCTCATCCTGCAAGGTTCTAATAAAGGAAGTCCCCAGGTGCGCAATGTTTGCATGCAGTTGTTTGATGGAGCCAGCCTTGGGAGCTCTTCAGTCTGTGAAATCACATTATTCCAGGAATTAGGAAGGCAACCAAGACAACACTTGGACTGCAGTGCCCTCTACTGTTTCAGAGTAATCACTGCAATGGCATGCTTTCCCCCACCCCTCTTTTTGGAGTTCTCCTGTAGCTCTGAGGCCCAGCTCTCCAATGGGTTTTACTGTGATAAAACATTTTTAGGTTTATTAGAACCTACATACACTTTATTCTAGACAAATAGTACAGATTATATAAGTTACATTTTGATAAACTCAGTGAGAGTTAGAAATAACTCTGAAACTATAGAATAGCATTTGAGACTGCATTGAAAAACACTAGATTTGGAACAAGTTTCTCTCCGTCTCCCCTCTGTCATCTTGATGCTTTGGTTGATGGTAGCTGGATTTGCAGCCAATGCATAGTCACTGCCATTTCTTCTGTCTGCAGACAAATCCAGACACTCCTGATTTCATTCCATCACAATTGGAATGAAACCTTGCTTGAGAGACTTGGGTTGACAGTGGAAAACATTGACCTTGTCTGACATGTGTTAAAAATACGCAGTGATAGCTCATGGTGCATTGTTGAATAAGAAATGGAACTTTTAGTAAGCTGGTTAGTGCTCTTATGTGAAACAGCACATTTAATAATAGTGTTTAAACTTCTGAACTCCCCCAAGCTGTTCAGCTTTGCTTCATATATGCATCACAGGGTAACTGTTCTGTTTGTTGGGATTTCAACCATTAGGTAGCTGGAGGGTGTACATTTTTGCACAGGCAAGTTTGTTCTCTCTACTGTTAGTTGTATTTATGAAATTGAGCCTTTTTTTCTTTTTTAAAGGCACTTGCTTTCTTCCTGGTCTCTCTGTGACCCAGGTCCTCCCTCCTTTATCTCAGCAGCAGGCATTGCTGAATGGCATGAAGCATGCATGGATGTTTGGAGCTACTATGGTTGGTAGGGATGTCAAGGGGCATTATCCAGTTAGTGCCTGTCATTCTAGTCTTGAGAGATTCTGGTGTTCTGCACACACAAAAACCAGGCATAGTAGTTGCATTTGCTGGGCGTAAAATAGTTTTTCTAGCAACTGTGATGATAATGAGCTGTACAGATTGCTGAGAAACTGGGGAAAGTAGCATTTTGTTGAGATTCTGACACCTGGGCTCTCAAAAAGCAAATGGCTTGAAGGATCCAGTATGAAAATAACCTCTCCTCTTCCCTTTCCTGCAGTTATTTTATTAGTTCTTCCTCTTGATTTGTCTGAATACCCTGGTTCATATAATTATTTTGTAACAAGGTCTGAAATTCAGTTTATGGTAATACAGTGTGTATTTCGTGCATAACTGCAGATTATAGTACCATCCTTGTAAGTACTTATGGGACTAGTGTTACCAGGAGAAAGTAGATCTAGTCCCTGATGTACACACACTCAAGCTTCATTTATGCAGAAAGACCATTGATGGACAGGGTGTGTAGTTGCTATTGCTGTTATGGCTTGCTATTGTCCCAGAGATTTATTTATTTAAAATTTTATATCCTACGCTTTTAGTGCCTACCACACGGGACAGCTCACAACAACTTCATTGCAATACAGTTGTCTTAGTGGATTCAAGAGGGGACCAGAGTCCACTCCTTCTAGGGATGTGTGCTTTTCTCTGAGCATTTGGTACATTGGCAGAGAAGCCAGTGGGGGTGAACTTGTAGGATTATAATTGATGCCTCTTAAGTCAGAACCCTCTTCGTCCAATGTAAGAGTGTCACAGCATCTTGAAGGCTTAGTTGTTCTCAGATACCTGGATTTTGTGGTACACAAGTGTTGTCCTTGTGTGTGGCTGAAAATGAACTTCTTGTTGCGTATAGTGTAGGGTAACGTGTGTCATAGAGAATGAAACACTAAATAAACTGCAGACAGCCTGATTATGGAGCAGTTGCCTTGCAGTATATTGATGTACTGTGGTATGCAAGAGAGAGGGGCGAGGGAGCGAAGGAGGGGCACAGTTCCCTTTTTCAGGGCTGGGGGAAAGCGCTCTGCCTGAGGACAGCTGCTGCCAATCAGAGTAGACAGTAATACAGGGCCAGATTAACCAGTGATATTATTTGATATAAATAAGTTTCATATGGTCAAATTGGCATTTAAACCCAGACCCAACAGGAAGCTGTTGAGTGAAACTTCCAAAGTATTCTAGGCAAGGTGACTAGTTGTTAAAGGCTAACTTGTATTTATTTATTTATTTAGGTGGTGCACCCCCTTCAACGGTTAGCCAGGCTGCTCCTGTGACTCTTCCTGGAAATCTTCCTTCTAGCAGTCCATACACAATGCCCCCAGAGCCTACTCTCTCTCAAAATCCTCTCTCCATCATGATGTCCCGGATGTCCAAGTTTGCAATGCCCAGTTCTACTCCACTCTACCATGACGCTATCAAGACTGTAGCTTCCTCAGATGATGACTCTCCTCCAGCACGTTCCCCAAACCTGCCACCTATGAACAATCTTTCGGGTAAGAAACAAATGCTGTATAGGTGTGCTGTGGCTGGTAGCATGTGGTTTGGAGAATATCATAGGGAGAAGCTAATGAAATTGCAACTTGCATGTGGCAAAACAGTGACACACTGAAATAGCCTCACTGAAATTGAGTTGTCAGGAACTACTCACCTAGGATGGACAGCTTAAGGTGGGGGCAGCAAACAGCCTGTGTAACTTAACCCAAGTGTTTGGTAGGAGGCTGCTGATGTAGGCAGTTACATAAATTATCATACCCTTCTCTCTTTTTTCACAATTTTAACTTTCCAACAGTAGTTATCCACATTGAAAATGGAGCATTGTGACTTGCAAGTATAGCGCAAACTATTACACCAAGTGTAATTTGTGAAAAAAGACTAGGGATTATGTCTCTGTGTGTCTCAAGTGATCACGTTTTATCATAGTTTACATGAGAGCCACTTACCAGTCTAAGAATCATTCTGATATTGATGTAGTGTGTTCTGTGACTTGCTTGTGGCTGTTTCAGTTGGGTCTTTCTTAGAACCCAGAAACAAGTTCTACCCAAGGAAGTGAGAAATGATGTCAGATTTTGTTTGACTCCAATTGGATTAAGAGGAGTTTTAAAAGCTGTTGAGTTTATGTCAAGCTGACTTAGAAGAGTGACAACTTCTCTTCTTCATAGTAAGGTGTTGAGGCTTAGATTAAGTGTGTCCAGGTTCTTGATTCAGGTTCCAGGATGGTTAGACTTTAGGTGGTAGTACTTCTATTTTGAAAAAGCACACCTTTGCTCTTTTAACCAACCTGATGGAAATAGTGAGATAAATCGCTTCATGTGACTAGAATCCTACAACAGTAAAATGTAGTGAGATGGTTGTGGAAGATTTGGAGCTTAGCTGTGCCAAGCAACTCCAGAATGACACCCTCTGCCTCTGTTCTGGACCCCCTCTTTTTGTAGGCAATGTTATTCCTGGAGACCTTCTCCTTTAGTGGCTTCTTGTAGAAGGATTTGGAGTAAACTTGCATCATTTTCCCTTCTAGAGAAGGGTTAAATTCCATTGTTCTGCTGTTGTATCAGTCACCTATGGAATACCTCAAGGAAAAGACCAAATTGTTACCCCCATTCTTTTTAAGCTTGCGTAATACTTCTGATTCACCCTGGTGAAAATGGTGGATGTTTTCTAGGGCATACTTGGGGCTTCCCTTGTCCTCTGTGAACCCTTGATCATGCCTTATTACAGTGTGACCGGGTTGCCTTGGCAGAGAAGTCAACAGTGGAAAAGGTTCCCTCATTTCAGCAATTGTTCTTACCTTCACCAACATGAAACCTCCCCTTTGACATTTGTCTTTGTATTGAGAGATTCCAGTATGTGCAACGGTCTCTGATGGAAAATATGTCAGCATTTGGGACAACCTCTTTGTGTTGGTGTGCTTTCGACGTGGTCCTTATTTTATGCGAGGCTGTAGTATAGCAAGGAGATATTTAGCTATCCATAGATTACTCATTTCCACATTAGAAGTCACGTATGCAGTACTTGCCATTCCTGAAAGCTTTTTGTATTATCACCTACTTGCTCTAATCTTAACCTTTTCCCCCTCCCATTCTCTCTAGGAATGGGCATTAACCCCCAGAATCCTCGCAGTTCAGGTCCCAACCAGGTGGGCCCGATGCCAACTCTTAGCCCAATGGGAATGACGCAGCCTCTAACTCACAGTAACCAGATGCCCTCTCCAAATGCTATGGGACCCAGTATACCTCCTCATGGGGTCCCTGGCCTGATGTCACACAATCCAATGATGGGTCATGGTTCCCAGGATCCACCAATGGTACCTCAAGGACGCCTGGGCTTCCCACAGGGGTTTCCTCCAGTACAGTCCCCTCCCCAGCAGGTGCCATTTCCACATAATGGACCGAGTGGAGGACAAGGCAACTTCCCAGCTGGAATGAGCTTCCACGGTGAGGGACCTCTGGGACGTCCCACCAGCATGCCCCAAAGTTCAACAGATCCCGCACTTTGCAAGTCTGGAGGTCCCGGAGGACCCGATTCTTTCACTGTCCTAGGAAACAACATGCCTTCAGTTTTTACCGATCCGGAGCTGCAGGAAGTGATTCGCCCTGGAGCTACTGGAATACCAGAATTCGACCTGTCCAGGATTATTCCATCAGAGAAGCCTAGCCAGACACTACAGTATTTCCCTCGTGGGGAAGTACCGGGCCGCAAGCAGCCACAGGGTGTTGGGCCTGGGTTTTCTCACATGCAGGGAATGATGGCAGAACAGAATCCGAGAATGGGGCTGGCGTTAGCTGGCATGGGGGGGCCGGTGGGCGCACCTGATATTTCTCTTGGAGGAGCGTCATCCATGCCAGGTCACAACCCAATGAGACCTCCTGCCTTCCTGCAACAAGGCATGATGGGACCTCACCATCGGATGATGTCACCAGCACAACCAACCATGCCTGGCCAGCCCACTCTAATGAGCAACCCAGTAGGCATGATTCCAGGCAAGGACCGCGCTCCTACTGGGCTCTACAGCCATCCGGGACCTGTGGGTTCACCTGGTATGATGATGTCAATGCAGGGCATGATAGGACCCCAACAGAACATCATGATTCCTCCACAGATGAGACCCCGGGGAATGGCTGCTGATGTAGGAATGGGAGGATTTAGCCAAGGCCCTGGAAATCCAGGGAACATGATGTTTTAAGCTGCTACATAAGACTGGATGGTTCGATCCTTGTTGAGATGAGATTCCAGGTCCTGAGGGCTGCCTGAGAGCTCCAGGAGCACAGTTTGGCCATGCAATAGGTAAAAAAACAGACCAGAGGATGCTTTGGGAAATCTCGAATGTATGGAATTACCTGAAAACAAATGAATTCATTTTAACAGGTTGTTTTTTTAAAATTTATTTTTTAAAAATTATTTTTGTGTACTTGGATATCCTGTGATGGCACCTGCTTTGAGAATCTGTAGCTGTATTTTGAGAATTGCCATTTGTCACAAGTTGCACCATTCTCTGTATGTTTACGTCCTTTGGACTGGCTTCTCCCAGGACTCTTGGTTATTTTGGGGGGGTTATTTTTGTGTACTGTACTATATTGTAAAAGGGATTTTAGCAGAGACTTTAGTCTTTGGGGTGAGAGGCTGTTTACTTTTAGGTGGAAAATCCATCTTCAGAACTTTGGACTATTTTCCTTCAACTCCAATGTATAGAAAAACCAAACTACGACCTCAGAGCAGAGTATTAATGAAAAGCACAAAAGGAACTTAAGTTCAGTGAGGGGGAATCTTAAAAAAAAAATAAGTTAAGGACATATTTTTCAAATTATGGAGTGCTGTCGAGCACCTTTGTCTCTCCCTCCCACTCTTAAAAAAAAAAAGGCATCTTGCCCCCCCCCCCCTTTACTGTCTCCTCCTCTGGCAGCTGCAATACATTGTATTATTTTTGGGGAGTATATGTAGGAGAGCCCCTTCTCATTCTGAGAGTGTTGCTACTTTCAGGAGGAGGCTGGACTTTGACACTGTTACATTCTACAGTAGTCTTACTGTTCGTTCTCCTTTTCTTAGGACCCCCCCCCCCGGTGACTTTATTAATGTGGGAGTGGAACAGACACTAAAAGTTATCCTGACCTTTTTTGTGGCTATCTTTTTTTTTTGTTCCCCAGCGTAAAACGTTCTCTGTGTAACCTCCATTAAATTTGGTACAAAACCACTTGCCAGGGCTGTGGTGTCAGAAAAATAAAATATATTGTTTCTTACAAAAGCCATTTCTTTCCTCCTTTGCTACAGTCTAGCTTGCTTCTAAATATGCCTGTTTGTATCGGGTTTAAAGTGCTTGCGTATATGCGTTTCAGATCACGTCCTTCTGATAAGGTTTTTATGTTGCACACCAGGTAGGCTGCTTCTTAAACCCCTTTCACCCTCTATCTTGGTGTAGAAGGGCATGGCTGTGCTACCGGTCTCACCTTTGTCATGGGGACAGGTTAGCCTTAACATGGGTGCACAGGTGAAGGTCCCCTAGCAGTGAGCAGCTGCTCAGGAACAGAGATATCCACTCTAGTCAGGCAACCAGAAAATGAATTAAGTTATAAAATGTTTACCTTCAGTAATCCAAAATAAGTTTCAGATGAAGATCTCCAACTCCAAAGCCTGAGTACTGATCAAACTGTAGGTAGTAACTCCCATTTCCTCGGAATCAGTTGTAATACAATCATAGTATCAACTGAATATTTGAACAGCCGTGAGTTTGGTATCTGTTTACATTCATTAGGAAAGGGCCAGTGAGCTAGCACCTTTGTATATAAAAACCTTGAGACTTCTTACCTCTTTATTTTCAAGTCTGTTTCAACAACTAACCTCACCTACCCCAGTATTCCTTTGGAAGATCCATATTTGTGATGTGTCAAGTTTTCTCCAGCTACACAAAACAGGTTCTTCCAGGTTGCATTTCCCTTTTACCACAGGGAGCAAACTATTACCAACCCTATGTTTCAGGTACAGAGGTTGCTGTAGCATTCGCACTGATTCGGGTCGTCAATTTGTATTCCCTATAACCCACAGGGCACAACACCAATCTGATTCAACATGCTTCTGTTACAACAAGTAACAGCCATTTTGAATACCCAGGGACTATCCACCTGTCTTGTCTTTGGGTTGGTTATATTAACATTGCTGCCTGCTTTTAGCATTCAGTCTGACAAAGTGCTTGTATCCAATTACATCTTTCCAGGCTTCTATCGGCCCGCTTCCATGTTTTTGCATTTTAGCTAACTGTAGCATTTCCACAATAGTTCACCTCTGGCCTACCTAGCCGTATCAAGCAACACTACGGTTCTAAAGTGAATATGGAAATAATTATAATAAAGCAGCTGGTTGAAGTTCCAAGGAAAGAGACTTTGCCCTGCTAATGGCTGTAGCTTCTGACAGCAGCTATATATAGGTGTACTGGAATGAAAGTTAAGCTCCAGTAAAACACTTTAATTGAGAATTTTGAAAGACTAGTTTAGTGGTTCAGTTTAGCTGCTAAAGGACCACAGGGAACTTAAAACAAAGAGTAGCACTAGCTTCAGAACACTGAATGTCTTAGTGGAGCTCAAAAGCAAATGTAGCAGTAGGTACAGAGTGCTTGGTGTCCAATTAATGTTCTCTTACTGACAGAGGCAATTTTCAGGAACCCCCCTGTTTCCAGGCTGGGATCTTTTGGAGCAGCTTTGCCTAGGGGCAGGGATTATTTAAAATTGCCTTGCCTCCCCTTTTCACTGGTGTATGCCATCTGTCAGCAGAGGGCCATCACTTGACTGCCATCTGCAAGATTCCATTAATTTGAAAAACTGGGTTACAGTAACAACTTTTTGGATATTAAGCCACCACCAACTCTTACCGCAGCCAGGGACCCAATTTCCAAAATGTAGCAGCAGCATTCATCCCTGTTATACTTTACATTACTTGAACTGTCCTGTTAGCAAAGTTAAACCACAAGTGAATGACACTTTTCTTTAAGGCGTTTGAAAAGACAAATGTTGTGAATAATGTTTTAGTATTACTAATCATTTATCTGTTCTACATCTCTTATCACTGAGAGCAAAGCATTTTATATTCCTCTGGATTAGCACTGTAAGTTGAAAGGGCATTTAGAAAATCCTCCAGCGGACAGAGACCAGCTCTGCATCCTCTTGGAACCAGCTCCTGCGGAAAGACAAGACAAATCAACATTTACGTCACCAAAAAAACTGCCATTACAAGAGGCTCTTGGGCAAAAAAAATAATAATATCTTGTACACTTTGTGGTCCTCCAGATTCTATTAGACTCCTAATAGTATCAGATAGTGGTCAGAGATGATGGAATTTGTAGTCTAGTAACAACTAGAGGACCAGAGTCCTGATATACAGCATCACTACTGCCTTGCAAAGAGAAGAGAGTTGCTTTAAATGTTACCAAAAGGTAGCTTGAAACAGGTATGAGATCCCTGCATTCCAGATTCAGTGATTTATCTGTTAACAGCCTTTGTATTTAGATGTTGTGCAAGCTAGAGTATGGAATTTGCCTCCTGCCCAAATCTCACTTGAGGTCCCATTTATATGTGTAACATCATCACCATGGAGCCTCCTACCTCTCCATTGTAGAGCAGCCGTATAAACCAGTCCTTGGAACGCTGGTAGAGTTCTATTGTCATGTCTGCTGCGTATGGAGGCCACTTGGAATCAAAGACCCCCAGAGCCAATAGCAGTGGGAAGAGGGTAACATCGTGAATAGCATACAGAGCAAGCTTTCTAAAATAAAAGAAGAAGTGACCAATAATTCAGTCTTACTGATGACATACATTGTGTATAGCAGCCATTGCAGCTGCATTTTCCATTTACACTGAATCTCAAGTCAGTTGGTAGATGTAATAAGCTAAATTGAGAATTATCAGGGTAATAGCATTCCTTCCTCTCCTTTTTGTTCTGTCTTCCACATGCGAGCACCTAGTTTGTATTTGTTCATATGAAACTGCTTTTGTGAGCCAAGTTCTACATAACTCCCGTTTAAAGTTAGGATATTTACAAGTCACCTTTACCCAGTTAAAAATATATACACAAATCTTAAATGGTGCAATTGTCACTGTTCCATCAACTCCTGCTCCCCTTGATTTGTCCCATTTCCCCTTTCAATGTTTTTAGCTTGTAGATGCTGCTCAATGGGATGTTCTGCCAAAACCGTAAATACTAATAATCTACATACCTGGCCTTGATTTCAGGAGAGGAAGGGTTCATTGCTGCCTTAATGTTCTTCTCTATTATATTGAGTAGAGGACCAACTGACATCTTGAGAGTCTCTCTAGTCAGAAATATAACAAAACAGAGATCCATTTTTTTAAAAAAATGTTTCTAACAAGAGTTGCAACATCTTTTAACAGTTCTAGATAACTGGCAGAACTTAATCGGAACAGGAGCTGGTTTAAAAGTAAAGGTTCCTGGCTAGCAGGGACACACATGACTAGTCTGTACAAGAAGTCCATGTTTTAAAACAGAAGAGTGATTCTGTGTTTTGTCTTGCAGATATCCCCAGGCTTACCACCCATACCATCCCTGGGACTGCTCACCTTAAATTCGATTTTGTGACATAAAGGAGTGTGTCTATAGCCCTCTGCTCGATCAGTTCCATGAAACTCTTCAGAATAGGGCAACTAGGCAGATCGTGTGCCTAAAAGACAGCATAGTGTGAATTTAAAGAACAACTCTAAGGCTGCAGTGACAAATGGCACCACTACTTTAGAGCAGGCATGGACACACATGTGCTTATCGTTAGATATCTTAACATGGACATGCACTTGAACAAGTTGTGTTAGACAAGGAACTAGGCCATTCCTCTAAGTCTAAAGACGAAGAACAATGTTACAATAAGCACGTGAGTGATTCCCTTTAAAAACAACAACAAGCCTTTAGTTCTAACTTGAACAACCTGAAAACATCTTCATGTAGTGGACAGATTTCAGTTCAAGACGTATGAATGGTCCCATTCATATGTCTTGATTACCATTTCCTCCCATGTCTTATGTTACCTACTACAATGCTGGCTGCCACAGTCAGGCAACGTAATTACCTGAATTGGCACAATATTCATTTTGTTTGTTTATTTAACAAATTTATATACTGCTTACTTCAAAAAGAAAGACCCAAGCAGTTTACAAAAGCAATATAAAAACCAAACAGCAAGTTACCGTATATACTCGTGTATAAGCCGACCTTTTCAGCACATTTTTAATGCTGAAAAAGCTCTCCTCGGCTTATACTCGAGTGAGGGTCCCCTTTGCCACTGTCGGAGGCAGCGGAGGAACAAGCAGCCCAAAAGCAGCCCTTTCTGGCTGCTCCTTCCTCCTCCGCCTTTGCCACTGTCAGTTTTCTGCTTGTTTGCCTGTTAGTCGCCATCTACACGCACACACACTCCGGCCCATCAGGAGGTTTGTGGTGTGGTGAACTGGCTTATACTCGAGCCAATAAATTTTCCCAGTTTTTTTGTGGTAAAATTAGGTGCCTCGGCTTATATTCGGGTCGGCTTATACTCAAGTATATACGGTACATTAAAAAAATTAAAATATAAAACCTGTAATTTTAAAACAATTGCATAATGGGTCAGTGCATCTGGCTGTTAACCAGAAGGTTGGTGGTTCGAGCCCACCCTGGGACAGCGGTGGGCAGGATTCCTGCCTTGCAGGGGTTGGACTTGATGAATCCCAGGACCCCTTTCCAACCATACAATTCTATGAGACAGGATCAGAAGGACAACAGCAGGATAGGGGAAAGTTTACAGTGAGGAACCTGGGTTTCATTACATTTCATTTCCTACAAGTTTTAAGTATTCAGTTCAGTGAGTTCAGTTCAGTTCAGTTGTACAAAAATGGCTTTCAAACTCGGCTGCAGGAAACCCTGGGGTGGTCAGAAGCATCTCGGAGAAAGAAGCTCCATAATGACGGTGCACAGCTTTTTCAGACAAATCCATAAAGAAAGGAAGCCCTGAATGTTGAAAGCACACATTTTTATTGCTGTTAAATGCTTTGCTTTTACTGATTGATAATTATACTGGTTTACCCAGCTAGAGCATTATTTTTCCTATTACAACATTTCTAGCCTACTGTATATCTATTGATCTCAGGATAAGATATAACAACAAAACAATCCTTGGCCACTTAAAAGCCTAAGCATCTGTAATAGTCATGTTCAGCATACAATATTCCCTCTGCTGTAACTGATGTAACCCCTTAAAATGTCTTTGCATGCAAGCTTTTCCCACATCCAGTTTAATCTTTAGTGCCAAACCTGAGATAAAGTGGAGTAGCAGGCCTTTGCCAATATCCCACCTTGGACCACTTAGTCTGGCTAGGTCTAACTCGGTATGTGTTATCTGTTCATATGATGCACTGGGGATCAATCTAATATTGGGAGCACAGATACACCCTAAGGAGGGAATTACAGAATTGGGCCCAACCCCTGATATGCTAACTGCTTCATGTAACCTACTTCTGTGTCATCATGTCCTAGGTAAGATCTATTAAGAGAAATTCAGTCAAATAATTATACAAGCTACTTTGGAGATTTCCATAAGCAACAACAGCAAGAAAGAGCTTATCTATTTTGCCAGTGTAATAGGCAACAATTTTTTTTTGGATGAAGAGAAAGATAAAAAGGAAATGTTAAACAATTAAGCCAAAAGACAAAAAATGTGACATTTGAGGAGGGAGTTGAAGGAAGACACATAGTTTCCTCTCTTGCCAGAGCTGTCTTGGCCATTTTCCGATTTGCAACAAGAGCTACTCTGCTGAATAGTTGCTAGCACAGAAATGGTGAACACGTGGCCTTCCATACATTGCTTGACTACAACTCCCATCATCCCTGGGCATGGGGTATTCTGGCTTGGGCTAATGGGAGCTGGAGCCCATCAGCACCTGGGCTGCCACACTGCTCTACTTCAGCACAGCTTCTCTCACAGACCTGCATGAATCAACTTGGATGGCTAAAGAAAACAGGCTTGTTCCTACAAAGGCACAGCGTACCTGTTCTGCAAAAATGTTGTCGAAAAGGAGAAAGAAGTCCGCCCCGTTCTTGCTGTCAAGGCCCATCTTCTCTTTAATGGTCTTCAGATCCTCTGCAATTCCTGGCTGCAGAAGAAGCACATTGGCCAGCCTCTCTCTGTCGAGGAAAAACGAAAGCTTCAGAATAATGCATAAATGGTAATCTGCACAAGCTACTGTGCTTGGATCCCCCTGCTTGTTAGAAGGGGAAAAGGAGTGCAGGGCTGTTTGGCTTGAAATGATTGCTTGAGCAATAGACAACTAAATGCATCACAATTAGTTACAAAAAAGCAAGAGGTCTTAAGCACGTGAAAATAATTTTTCCTTAGTTGACTCGGATCTTTTTCAGGGCAAATAACTAAATAGCTCTTGCCTCACTAGGGAAGATGTTAATGACCAATGGCGCCCCAGATGTTGCTGGATCCCACCTCCCATCAGCCAGCATGGCCAGGAGTGATGGAATTTGAGAGCCCAGCAATATCTGGAAGGGACCACAGGTTAGCTGCACCATTGTACAAGAGTAGCCTATGGACAGGGGCACCAAGGTGTGTGGGGGGGGTGCCGGCCATGGGGCATGCTTGCATCATGTGTGCATGCCACACTGATGTTGCACGGTCCCAGGCCCCTTGAACTGCAGGGACAAGGTGGCATGCTTGCCTACAGCCACCTTTGAAAATTCCTAATTTTGCCACAGCTTCCCTGAAAAGGAAACGGTTACCGATGCAGTTCTTAAAAAAGAAGCAGAATTGCATATGGGGTTGTTTTAGAATATAGTGATTATAATAGTATCGTATTGGCTCTGCCAGGAGTTAGGGAATTGGCGTTCACTCTCTGTCCCACGAGCTTTTGACACAAGCATGATCATACTTGCTTTTATTTGAGCTGACTGGGCACCAGTTACGCAGTTCACTGAATCACTAGAATTGTCAAGCAGCATATTAGAGAGCCCTTTCCCATCATAATCCCAGAGGAGCCTACAGCAAGCACATTAGCCGTTCCACAAAATGCAACCGGTCGCTACAGTATAAGTTTGGGGAAACAAATGCTATCATCTGAGCCGTTTAAATAGTCAAGCTGTGAGACACAGAAGTATGGTAGGCTACTTCATAAGTTTTCATTCCAACTGCTTGCTTTTTTTTAATTGTTTGAAAATAGTTTATTCACAACATAGTTGGACAACTGCTCTAACATACAATAAGAGCATGATTTGCTTTGGCTATTTTGTTCTCGTCTCGCAGTCTTACACGTCAGCAGCTTTTAGGCTATGGCTAGATCGCTAGATCTCACACAGTCATTCCCTAAGGAGACTTTTGCAATGGCATAAAAAAAAGGTGCAGGGAAAGAGGCAAGGTAAGAATGGCAAGCCTGGGCTTGCTTCACAGAGGAACACTGGAACTGTTCTGTGAGGGACAACAAGCCAACCGCCCCCAGGAAGTCAGAAGGTGTCTTTCAGGTTCAAGCGTGTATGAAGGCTCAAACTGAAGCATGTGAAAATGTGCAGCTCCCCAGCCCAGCAAACCTTTGCATGTTGACTGCACAAGTTCCTGATAAAGATGATTCTGAATGCAGCTCAATCCTTCTTGCAAAAGGAGGAGCAGGGGTGGCTAAGCTATGCTCCTCTGCCCAGTTTGAACACTTCTCACGTGTTCTTTTAAATGCTTGAACAGGTCCAGAACCGTTCACAGGGTTTAGGGGAGCACATTGCTTTTGGCAATCAACTGATGTCATGCATATAATTTAGGTCAAGGTCTTCTGAAAGGCCTTGCTGCAATAACTACTGCACCTTCTGTCTGCACAGTGGCACCAGACAGAATGTTTGTGGCAAGATACCTGTTCATGACTTTCAGTCCACGGCAGTTCACTGGGTTGGGATAAAGGATTTCAGAGTCTGCTTCATCTGTAACTATGGTAATGGGTCCTGTACAAGACAAAAAAACATTGAATGCACTTGCAATTCATGGTTTAAAGTTTCGGGCTGTTAAGAATTAATTCAAACACATCTTGTAATGATTTAAAATAGTTTATAATCCTAGGACAATCTCTTACCCACCTCGACCCTCATTTGTGCAAAGCTCATTAGGGAACTTCCCCTGCACTTGGGAGCATACAAGTCTATGCTCCCAATTACATTTGTGCTTCAAGCAAACATTAAATCATGCCTGCAAACTAATAAGGCAAGAGCCCACTGTGCTAAATGCTCAGCAAAGCACACTTATTAACACATGCCTTCAGATACTTGTTGGTGATATATTCTGCTCTTACACAGAACGACTTACACCACATGATTCTCTTACTTGTAAATTAATTTACACCACAGCATGCCATTATCTTAATCAAAGCAGTTTGTAACAGCCACCGTTGTAAACATTGGGGTTTACAAAACCAGAAGTAAGCGCAGTGCTCTTCCCTTCCTAATCATTCCCCAATAATCAGGTTTAACACAATAAGAGTTTCTGCAAGAAATAGTGGTTTATGCACAAATGTTTTGGTAGCAGAACTTTGCAATTTACTTAATCCTAGTATCAAAACTTTTGAGATTTAACTTGTTTGTTCCATTCTTCTTCCTGGTCTCTGTTCAGCTCCACATATAAGTTTGGTGCCTGCTCAGAGCAGCGTTTGAGAGCCGGGTCGGTTATCTGTGGCTCTCTGGATGTGGTTGGGAACTCTAGCTCCCATCCGCTCCAGTCAGCATGGGCAATGGCCAGGGATGGTGGGAGTTTTAGTCCAGCAACATCAAGAGGACCCAAGTTACCCATCTTTCTCTAAAGCTGGGCAACTAAAGGTTTTGAATAGAGGCTCATTCCCAACCCTCAAGGTGCATGGCACAAGCAGTATGGCCATTGCCTTCCCATTTAAGTTTGTTCTGGCTGCCAGTTTGTAGTATCATTTCGAACCTTCTCCTTAGGAACATAAGAAGAGCCTGCTGGATTAGCTAAGGGCCCACCTAGTCCACAATGGCTGATCAGTTGCATATGGGAAACCCTCAGGCAGGACCTGAGTGCAACACTGCTCTGACCACCTGCGATTCCAAGCAAATGGGACTAATAGCTGGGTCAGCCTTCCCCAATGTGCCCCCCCCCCCCATGTTTTGAACCACAACTCTGATCATGGGAGTTGGGAGGAAGATGGAACTAGCCAATTTCCTTTTCTGCCCCCCTTTTCCTTCTCATTTTTTCTCCCTGCTTTGTCTCTTTTTTGTTCTGTAAATTTTGCATTTATTTATTTCAATAATATTAATAATATACCACCCCATGCCCAGAGGTCTCAGGGTGGTTTACAGAATAAAGTCAAACTATAAAACCACAAGATACATAATCAAAATAAAGAACAACAACCCAATACCCCCCCCAAAAGAACACATTTTAAAAGGGCATATAATGCCAATCAAAGGCCTGGTTAAAAAGGAACGTTTTTGCCTGGTGTATAATGAAGGCGCCAGATGAACGTCCCTGGGGAGAGCATTCCACAGACAGGGAGTCCCTGCAGAGAAGGCCCATTCTCGTGTTGCCACCCTTCGGACCTCTCAAGGAGGAGGCACATGAAGGAGAGTCTCAGAAGATGATCTGAGAGACTAGGTAGGTTCATGTGGAAAGAGGCGGTCCTTGAGGTATTGTGGTCCTGAACTGTTTTAAGGCTTTATAGGTCAAAACCAGGACTTTGTATTGGGGCCAGAAACTAATTGGTAGGCCAGTGCAGTCAGACTAGGATCGGTGTAATATGCTCAGACCGTCTTGCTCCAGTGATCAACCTGGCTGCTGAATTTTCCATCTCCTTCAGTTTTCAAGGGTAGTAGGGTGCAATGGGCAATGGGCATGATGCAAGTTGTGCTGACTACGGGGGTCAAGCTCTCTGCTGTATCAGAAACTTATGATTGATGTTTGCCCTGCCTGGGTAAAGGGAGGCATGTAGAGAATACCTGCATGCATTAACAAAGGTCTGTGAAGCAGGCATGCAGCAAGAGGTATACTTGTGGGAGCAGCAGGGGTCTGGGCCCTTCTGAGGCCAGCTCTGCAACATGCTACTAGCTCCTGGGCCAGATGCAGTTGCCACGGTGAGCTCACCTACTGAAAACGTTCCCAAAATGATGCAGTGCATGAGCTGCACCCAATTGCATGACTGTATAAATAAAAGCCCACCAACACCACAAACCTTGCAAACTACATCCTCTACCCTAGGAGTTTCAGCAAGGGAGCCAACATAGCACTCCTTTTCTGAGTAGTCACCAGTTCCTTCTAAACGTGAAATTCCTCATTTAGAGTGCAAGTGTAGCCTATCAGAATCCACTAGGGCAGTGTTTCTCAGGCTCAGGTCCCCAGCTGCTGTTAGACTACAACTCCCATCATTCCTGGCCATTGGTCCTGCTAGATAGGGATGATGGGAGTTGTAGTCCAACAACAGCTGTGGACCCGTAATAGACAGTGATAAACAGAAGAGCCAGAAAGAGAACAGTGGTGTAAAGGGCAATGATCTCTGTTAGGAGAGAGACTCCAAGGCAGGACTGCGAACAGAGGAGCAAGGAGCTCCCCTTCATTGCTGACCTTCTTTCTGCTGTTGGAACAGCCCAGCTAGCAAACACCGCGTGGACTCCAGATTCCGAACAATGTTAGTGGAACGGACACTGAAAGACAGAAGGCAGCCAATGAAATGGGAGCACAGTGGGCTGCTCCCTGTACAAACTGACACGGGGTGGGACTTGAGGGGTTTCAGCACTCTGAGCCACCAATATGGCAGTACCAAGCACTGCTATCTGTTCTAGCTGGAGATTCTTAACATCAAACTGAACACAGTGGTGTGAGGGAGAAAGCAAGCGAGGACTTTGGATGGAACTTTGCTAAGGCTTATGATGCCGTGTGGGCTGGGAGGGAGCGTAACAGTCAGCAGGAAGAGCAAGAAAGCTGTTAGGAAGGAAACTGGAGTGTTCAGAGACTCACAAGACCTCAGAAGGTTTGAATGCTGGCGAGAGGAAATGGGTCTCCTCAATGTAACGTCTCCTTAGCCGTTTCCCCAGTGCAAACGTCTGCTGCATTCCTACTTTGGTCAGCTGGCCTGCATTCACTCCGCCCTGGGAAGAGAAAAGCTCTGTTGAATGGCTGAAAAAATAAACGGAGATGCAACATTTCCAAAGGAATACATGTTGGGTCACCTTCAGCACTGTTTTTTTGTAGCTTTCTTCGAAAGGAGAATAAGGTCTTGGCCCACCAGCCAGGTTCGTTACTGTGTAGTCAAACTTTGTTTCGGCAGGCGTCTCCAAAAGAGCAGGGTCCCATGCCACCTGTTCCAAAAACAAGGATGAAGGAAAAGAAAAAGCATTTGAGTAGGCAACTGGGACCTTCAAGTAGCTAGAAGAGGTTGACAACCCACTACTGTGGAAAATCAAATTTATTTCAGTGGGCTTAGAGGCATGGCAAACTCTGCAAGCTTGGTGCTAAAACATCTCATTCAACACTCAGGCTGTTCTGCGGCAAGAGGAGCGGGCAGTGACACATTTCACAATCTTCTTACTCCAGGGTTTTGAAATATACAAAAACATCAATGTGGGCATACTTTCTGGGTGTGCCCATGAATGCTCTAATGTCTTGAAAAAGAAAAAGTGGCTGCAGCCTCAGCAATGTTTCTACAGTGGCAGTAGGGAGCGCTCCTACTCCCGTGTTTGGAGAAGCAGGCAGAGCGTGGCAAGGCCTTCTTGGCTGACTCTGTTTTGTGTGTGTAATAAGAGGAGGAGGAGCAGCAGTAGCAGCAGCAAATAGCTTGTTCCTGTGTGTCATTCTTAGACTTAGACTTTGTGGAGGAGCAGGAGTGGGGTCAGCCTGTGAGGAGTTTTGGGTATGACTCAGAAGCCATAATGCAAAGTATGGTATTGGGGGTGGGGGCGCAGATGGGCTTGTGGACTGGAGTCTCCGTGTCCTCACCTGTGTCTCCATCCCTTCTTTTTACCCCCTCCCACTTTGTGTGTCTTTGTCTGTTGTTCTCCTGCCTTGTGCTCGCTCTCTCTTTGTTCGGCTTCATAAGAACTGTGTTTCAATTTAATTTACTGGGTAAGCACACCCCTAATGAAATGTGCTGCACATGCCTTATGGACACCAACATCAGGAAGTCTTGCGAAAATGGATCTCTGCAGAACTGTCAGGGCTAAAATACTATATTCAACGCTTTTGCTGGTTAAAAAGTCAACAGAGGATTGCTTGCAATTCTTTTAGTCAGGGTTACAAATACAGAGAACCAAATCATGGTCCTTGCTCAGTGCCTCAATTATAGCATCACCTACGGCAGGTGTTCCCACCCTGCTCAGCTGATTTGTGGAGGACAAGGCTATCAATGGCCACCAGCTATGGAGGCTATGTTCTACCTCCACTGTCCGAAACAAAATACCTCTGAAGACCAGTTATGTGTGGTGAGAGCACTGTTGCACTCAGGTTCTGCTTATGGTACTCCCATGGGCATCTGATGGCCACTGTGAGAACAGAGTGCTAGACTAGATGGGCTTCTTAAGTTATTAAACAGCTGGTCCTTAGAGGAAAAGCTGGTAAGCTGGGTGGGGGGCTCCCAATCCTTGCCCTATTCCAAGCACTTGCCTTTGGAAACACTGCAACACAGAAAATACAAATGAGGCTTGCACATATCTGGAATGTTTAAAATATCAGGGTTTCTCTGTATTCATCCTAAGAGGCATATCTGCCATCAATAGTTCTTGGCCATTTCCCCAGAAATTCCACTTTAAAGTGTATGAGTTTAAAACTTTAAAAAGAGCAATCTCAATTTCTTCACAACTGCACTTCCTACTGATCTAGGTGGTAAATCTGCCAAATCTGTTCATCACCAGAAGTTATCACAAGTTGCTAGGCGGAGCCAAGAGAGGAACATGGTGCATAAGGAAAAATAAACACAACCATTAATTCTATTCCAGCTACAAAATCAAGAGGAAATGCAGGTGTTGGGTAAGTAGTTCATAAACTGGGTAAGTAGAAGTTGCAATGCCTTCTCTCATCACCTGTTTATGAAAGACAGTGACACAAACTTTGATCTGGTTGAAGCAGAGTGAAAAATTTTCAAATCTGACTATACAGCCTCTCTGAGCCCAGCTTTGGCTGGGGGGGGGGGAGGGCGGGATATAAATTATTATTATTATTATTATTATTACAGGCTGGTTGATGTTCACTGCTATCCTGCACTAATGCAAATGCATGTTTATGTATGTATCTCCTGAAGTTAAAAGGGCAAGAGGCAAGCACCCCAATCAAATTATTTATAGTACTTAGTTAGTTAGCCTATGGGTTGGTAACATTCAAGATAGGAGGAGATGCACAAAACAAGGCTATAGAGAATTAGCACTATAAGTGAGTCGCTATTCTCACTCATCAATAGGCACATAACATGCAATTGTGAATATCGCAGGGGTTGTATTCCAACTTCGTTCAGCATGACCAGTGGTCAGGGATGATGATGGGAGTTGTCCAGCAATGTCTGCAGGACTGCACACTCCCCATCTCTGACATACAGTTGCATTTACACCTTCCAGCGCTCACAATTTGGGGCTGTAGCACCCAGCTGGCAATGAAGGAAGCGTCTCATTGTTGACAGGCAGCAGAACAGCCCAAGCTAGCACACCCCACCAGTATGAATGGCAGGCATTAAGCAAGTGACCACAATAGAGTTGACCTCACATGGAGCTCACTCCCTTAGCTCTGCAGCAGCCCACATTTTAACATAATTCCCACGTTTGTTTCCATGTTCTCTAAATTTTATAGAATGCCAAGGCATTCTGGGGCAAATATCCACTTTATCAGATTGTGGGTTGGCGGTATGAAGGTGTATTATTGCTGTACCTTCTGTACTTTGGCCTGCGTTCCGCTTGGTGGCTACTGGCACTGAGCAAAGCCAAATTTTCCACCTATGCTTCCTTCACCTGCTGCCTCGTGAAAATGCCCACACTGATAGCCCTGAGCTAGTAAGCTCAGCAACCTCTGCTGCTCCTCGGACCACTTCTGCTTCCTCCAACCTGCTCCTGGTGTGCCAAATGGCTTTTTAGCTCAGCTGGGGGAAAAAAGTGCAGCATCTTCTTTAGGAATTGATTGCTGTTAGCACCAGGAATTTCCAAGCCCAGGGCATCATCGGCCCCACTAGCATTTCTGCATGAACATGCCTGATAATTATTTGGCAAGCTGCTGCTTTTCATGCCAATTTACAGCACTGGGTTATAAATGCATTTTTTAAAATCACAGGGGCATAATACCTGGTTGGGTTGTTACAAAGATTAGTGAAACAATGTAGCAGAGATGCTTTTAACACTTAAGGACACAATATTAACATGTTCTTTTAACCCCCCCCCCCTTTTACCACTATCACAACCAGGCACCCCCAACTAGCTGCCCCCCCCCGTGTGATCTTGGCTGAGGCTTGCCTGTGTTGCCCAGATCCAGGGGCAGCATCAGAGGGGGAGGTACCAGGGGGCTACACTCAAAGCCCCCACTTGCAGAGCCTCCTGGCCCTGCTGGACCTCCTTTTGTCATTGCCCACCTGCCCTCTTAGGAACAGGAAAGTTTCAAAGCATCGGTTGTGCATGGAGGAAGTCCGAAGTTCAACCCTGGGCATTTCCTGGTAGGACTGGGGAAAGCTCCTGCCTGAAGCATAGCCAGTGTGGACAACGCATCAGTGGTCTGACTCTGTAGATCTTCCTAGCCATCAAACAGAGGAGAGCAAAGGGATCCCCACCTTGTGCTTCCCACTTGGGTGGTTGTGTGGATGGGTGTGTGTGTGCGCGCACGCATGCAAGTAAATAGACAGCGGGTGTGTGTGTGCTGGGGTGCTGAGTTGAATAAAATACGGGGGGGGGGCAGGTGAGCCCCATGCCCATATAACTGATCACAAGGCACTGCAGACACACATACTATTTGAATCACAATGCCCATCAACTTGGGGGGGCAGGCACCTCAAATACTTAAATATTTTATTGGGGGGGACCTAGGAGTTGGCACCTATGGCAGGGGCAAGAAGCCAAGAGGGGTTGAGCCAACCCAGGGAGGGGGTATATTGCTGAATGTCGTCCCCCCACCCAAAGCTGATGCTTCCCCCATGGCCCTTGTTATTGGGAAGGGCCAGAGGGAAAGGGAAGAGGCATGTATGCATTGACTGCATTATTTCTGCCTGGGGTTCAAGGCGGCATAGATGGTTTCCCCTCTCCCCATTCCATCCCGCCGACGACCCTGGGAGGCAGGTTTGGCTGGACGGCAGGCACTGCCTGGCCCAAGGTGACCCGCTGGGGGCCGAGTGGGACGGCCAGCCCTGCTCTGCCAGCTGCGTCCCTCTCCTTCCAACCCCGGGCGGGAGGCCCCCTCACCTGCTCCACATCGGGGATGGGTCTCAGCGGAGTGCGCGCGCCGTGCCGGAAAAGAACCTGCACCAGCTTCAGCTCCAGCGGGTCGTCGTCGTCGCTTCCGCGCGGCGCTTTGCTCCTCCTGGGCTCGGCCAGGGCTCTCCTCTTGCTCGCTACGCAGTACGCCAGGGTGCCCAAGATGCCCACGCGAGCCCACAAACTCATGCTGACGGGGCGAGGCAGGTGGCGCGGGACCCTCGTAGCGAGTCCGAGAGCGGGGCAGCTCGCCGCTTGCGCAGCTGCCGGCAGAGTTGCGAAAGCAAAAGTAGTTGTTGCTGCTGCTGCTGCTGTTGCCTCACGGGAAGCCCGCCTTCCTCTTCCACCGCCGGCGCGAGGAAACGCCGAGGCTCGCGGAACAGAGACCTCCTGCCTCCTCCCCCTTTTCAGCAACGCCGCCCGGGCGCAGCTGCTCGCCGGCAGGAGACTCGGCGCCACCCCCAGGAGGACCCTGGGAAATGCGTTTCTTCAGCAGGGCGCCTGCCCCGGCCAGGAGCCACCAGAAGACTACATCTCCCAGCGGGCGTCGGGGCGCTCTTTCCCAGCCGGTCACGTGTATGGCGTGGGAGTTCCCACGGCCGAGCTTGTGAGCGTGTTGCTGCCGGCGAAGTGGGAGGACAGCTTTGCCTTCGGGCTTAATCCGCCCTCTGGTTGGTCTCTGCAGCAAACAGGCGAGGCAGTGGGATCTGAGCGATGTCTCGCGTCTCTCCCCAGGGCCATTCACTGAACCCATATGGGCGATCTTGTTGTATTCGTCTTATTTATGCTCTCCCATCTTGCTGGGTTTTGTAGTGTGTCCAGTTTTCAAATTATTAGTGAATGCGTAGGGCACTTTATTCTGCTTTGTCCAGTTAGCTGCCATTCCTTGCCTCTGGGAAGTTCTGAACACTTTCAGCCGAATCCCATGTATGTAAGTCCAAATTTGTTCAGTGGAATTTACTTGCATAAACCTTTTCCCCATGATGGGGAGGAAATGCATACTGGATTCGCAAAACATTTGTACGTGCTTTTTATAAATGTAGATTTAGAAAGGATTTCTTTAAATAGGAAGACAGGCCATTTCACCGCAGTGTGGAAGACTATGATCAACCAGCTGTGCAGGTGCTAACTGTTGATGAGCAACTTCCAAAGTCCCTGCTTTCCATTCTTAAGGTTATCGAAACTGACTTGTTCTCAGTGGCTCCAACTGAGATGTATGGGTCAACCTGTATGGGCTGCCACTGAGAGGGTGGTGAGTCATAGGACCTATTCCAGATGCTGGGCTCACCAGAGGCAAGAGTTTCTGCAATATACATGCCTGCCTATCATAATATGAGCATTTCACCCAGAAAGGAATAATGCTGGCTTCTCATTTGATTATACTGGCATAGGCACGCACACCTGGCAGATACAGTATACTTCTGAATACCAGTTGCTGGAAACCACAGGAGGTGAGAGTGCTGCTGTGCTCAATCCTTCTTGTGGGCTTCCCATAGGCATCTGGTTGGCCTGCTCCAGAAGGCCTCTTCTTCTGTTCTTCTGCATGCATTCAGCATGATCTAAGCTCTTGTCAAGTCAGAGGAATGTGTCGGTACAACCATTCATGCGCACACACCATATATATTGCTCCATGACACTCTGACTTGCCAAGGGCTTTTCACGAATCACTGGGTGAGTGGCATGGCATGGGTGTGGGCAGGGTGGCCCAAGGCATTTGCCACCTGGGGCAAAAATGCTCCACTCCCCTGCGATGGAGTCAGCAAACTCAGTAAGGATTGTCAAGAAGAAAGTAATCTTAGCAGGAGCGGAGGTGTTCCACAGAGCTTCGTTGCTGGTCCCTCCCTCTCTGTTCTTAGAGGCCAGGGAGACCAGTGGTAAATCTGTGTCGCGGAACTGGGGTGCCACGCTTTGAGGAATGCCTCATGGGTGGGCAAGGCTCTGAGTGGGGACTTACCAAACCAGACTACTGCTCTCCTCTCAGCCCTTCTTGGAAGGGACGGAGGATAGGAACTAACTGTGATGGCCTGGGACTCGGGCTCGGACTTGGAACCAGAGGAATCTCAGTCCACACCAGATCCTTTGCCTCAGGTGGCATCTGAACCAAGTCTGGGGCCTGATTCTGAAGAGCCCCAGTCTGCACAGCTTCCCCCGCAACAAGCATCAGCTGGGCCGAGCCTGCCCTGGCTCCAGATGCGGGGATTACCTCATTGCCTTCAGCTGGGCCATTACTTACAGCTGCTCCACTACCAGTTGGGTCAGGAGAGGCTGAGGCGGCCTCTGGGTCTAGCAACCCACCGACACCTCCCAAGCTGCAGAGACTAAGGTCTGAGTGAAGGAGAGACCTGAGTACTTGCAGGAGGAGTGCTTGCCTTCGGGCGAGACAGGGAGGTGAGTGTCTGGGGGATCAGGACCAGCCGTTACCCCAACAAAGATAAAAGGCTGTCGGATCCCGCCCCAGGTTGCTGAAGCAACATAGCTGTTTGCCAGAACCTGCCTGAGACCTGTGCCTGACCTTGCCTGGTTTCCTGCCTTGGCCCTGTCGGACTGACTCCTCACAGAACCCTTGGATACGGGACCAGACCTAGACCACGTTGCTCGGGTTACCCCCGGGCCCAGCACACTAACCCAAGTTGAAAGCTGCTGCCTGGCTTTATTTATCGCATTTATATATCTCAGTTTTCCTCCAAGGAGCTCAAGGTCGTGTTCATAGTTCTCTTCCCCGTTTTACCCTCACAAAATTCCTGTTCAGTAGGTTTGGTTGAGAGTGAGTGGTTGGCCCAAGGCCACCCAGTAAGCTTCATGGCCAAGTGGGGATTTGAACTCCGATATCCCAGATCCCAGTCCAACACTCTAACCACTAAACCACACTGCAGAAAGCTTTTAACCTAGCTGGTCCTGTCTCTCTGCAGAGGACATTCCCCACAAACCAGAGGCTTCTGGGATGTATTTTCACTTTATGCTTTTTGTGCCTTTATCCATTCTCTCGCCTTCCCCCCAAATCCCTGCTGCTGGTGTCAAGGAAAGGAGGAGGTAAGAGAAGTAGTAGTATCTAACAGGAAATTATAATGTGGGTTTGCATAAAGTGTTCAAAATCTTTTTGTCCACTAGAGAGCAATAGTGGGATTTGGAAATGGACTGTACTGCTCAGTAAAAACTCTTCTGTTGGGTAGAAACCAAGAGTGGAAAACAGTTCCTTCTCCTTTTAAGTGGTAGAAAACAAAGCAAGATTTCCCATCCAGCCAAGCTGGCTATTTCATGATCTATGCATTTAAGCAGTTGGCAAACTCTGTGGTGTAACAAAATGTTCCTGGGTTTAAACCGAATGTCCCAGAGACAGGGGTAGGGGAAGAGGGTGTCATGGGGAAAGAAGTAGATAAGGAAAGTAATCTTCCTTCTTGTCAACAAGCAATCATAAAAAATATTTAGCAGCTGACAGTTCCTTGTAAATAATATTTTATCAATGCAAAGCAGTTCCACTCCCGGGTTCCCTTCAAAACCTGTACATGAGAATGAGGGAAAATGAGTGATGGTAGATAGCTACCAGGCAGTGGGAGGGTGCTAATAATTTGACACATTGTAGTGGCAATAGACCTATAAGCAGTCAGAGGTGCATATGGGGACCAAGTATGAAAAGTGTGTGTGTGTGTGTGTGTGTGTGTGTGTGTGTGAGAGAGAGAGAGAGAGAGAGAGAGAGAAATTGATCTTGTTGATGATGGGAAAGCAGTGCAGAGAGTGTGTGCACACATTCTGAACTAGGCAAGTTTCTCAGATAATGTGTGTATGTGGAGAAGATCCAGCATTTAATAGGAAGAGGTGCACAGTTTCACAAATATTGCCTTGAATGGGTCAGTATAATTGATAAAAAACATTTATAAGCCCTATGGCACTTTAATTGTGAACTGTTTTATTGTGACTTCAGTAAAGGCTGAGCATTTCCACCTGCTCAGCTCCATTAAGAAGCTGTTCTATAGGCAGTTGCCTTCAGGCGGCTGCCGAAGGTATTATGCCAAAGGGAAAGTAACTGGGAAGCCCTCCAGACCGGTCTTTTATCGCGGATGTTTCTGCAACATGTTCTTGACACAATAATACCGTATTAGTGGTGGATTTATTCTGCTTTATGTTGTTCTGCAATGCTTCCCCAATGCTGCCACATTATTTCTACCTGGAGGGGATAAAGTGCAACAAAAGTGAGACAAAAATGAAATGGGGTAGTTGTGATATAAAGAAGAAGAAGAAGAAGTTTGGATTTGATATCCCGCCTTTCACTCCCCTTCAGGAGTCTCAAAGCGGCTATCATTCTCCTTTCCCTTCCTCCCCCACAACAAACACTCTGTGAGGTGAGTGGGGCTGAGAGACTTCAAAGAAGTATGACTGGCCCAAGGTCACCCAGCAGCTGCATGTGGAGGAGCGGAGACGCGAACCCGGTTTCCCAGATTACAAGACTACTGCTCTTAACCACTACACCACACTGGCTCTCTATGCTGCCACATTATTTCTACCTGGAGGGGATAAAGTGCAACAAAAGCGAGACAAAAATGAAATGGGGTAGTTGTGATATAAAAACTTATGGGATTTCATCAGGAAGTTAATGAATATGGACTGATCAGAAACGTAGCAGTGTGACCACCTTAAAACTTTGGCAGATTCAGGCAGTATTGAAAGTGGGACCACAAATAATCATGAATGCGCAATAAAAAGGGTGCCCAGAAGGGGCCCTTGGTAGTTCTTCAATGTTCACCCATCCAGGCACTGACCAGAGCCAGGCCTGTTTAGCTTCAACAAGAGCGTTGGCCTTATGTACCTTCAGACCTGGGAAATTTGTAAGTGAAGGAACTATTACAAAGACACCTCAAAATTCCATTGTTTCTCACCCATTTCTCAGGTAGCTGGGGAAGATTATGTAACAATATAGGCATCTCCCCACTTACACTCGTGTGACTTGCACATGACACCGTATACATGTGGCACTGGGAAATAATTAAATAAATCAATTTAAACTGCAAAAAGGTGAGGACTGTGGGGAAATGGCTTGAAAAGAGTGAGAAAACTGAAAAAATGGCCCGAAAAGAGCTGGAAAAAATCTAGTAATCCAAAACACTTTGGGGTACCAGTCTACTTGTCTACTTCTGAATCACAGCCAGGCACTTTGAGGTACCGATCTACCCCATTTGTTGTTGTTTACACATTGTCCTTCAGTGACGAGGAAGACTGAGAGCCACCATTCTTGATAGTCTGGTGAATGCTGCTGGTTTTTTAAAAGGGGGTTTCAAGGTTTTACAGGGTTTTTCTGTGGTGTTCCCCACTATATGCGATTTCACATATATGCCCGGTACCCAAGAACATAACCCCCATGCCTGTATGTTCAATCTTAAGCACTTACTTGCTGTCATAAGTTTGTTCCAATGTGTAATGGTGTTGAAAAGCCTTCAGTCATTTTAAAGGTTTGAAAGGTAGTAGACTCCCACTGCTGCTACACCCAACAAGCAATTGATGTAAATAAAGTTTGGTACTCCTTTGTGGACCATGTTTC